ACATCGGGAGACTCAGAACTGCCTGTAACTCCAGTTCCAGGGGATCCAATGCCCTCTTCTGGCTTCTGTGGGCTCCCACGTGTACATATACATAATACAGACAGACATACACTTAAAAATAATTCCTTTAACAAATGTATGTATACATCTATCTCCAGAGCCTGCCTTCTGCCTTCATAGCTACAAGCAAGGTCTAAGGCGGCGGCAGGTGATGTCTCACTTCCACTGTTACACCCTAATCCAAGATAGCACCTAGAGTGGTCCTGTTACAACTCACACCAACTGGGCTGGGGGTCGTGACTCCTGCCTTTACTCTCAGTGGCAGAGGCAGGTGGGCTTCTGCTAGAGGTCAGCCTGGTCCTGGGGGAGCAGGAAGCTAGAGACATGGCTTAGTGGTTAAAGGCACATATTGCTCTTGAAGAGCGACAGAGTTCAGGTTCCAGTACCCACCCAGGTGGTTCACCAATGCCTGTAACTAGCTCCAGAAGGATCTAATACATTCGGCCTCTGTGTGCACCTGTATTCATGTGCACATACCCACACACTTGCTTTTTGGGGAAGGGGGGATGACAGGGTCTCACTGTGTAGCTTTGTCTGGCCTTGAACTCACAGAGACCTGCTATTAAAGTTGTGTGGGGTACTACATCTGGCTCCATATACATAATTAAAAAAAAACAACAATTGTTCACGATCATAATCCAGCCAAATGCTGAAGTGCTTCCACTGGCTGGCAAGACTCTCCGAATCTCCCATACCACTGCTCTCCATGTCAAATACCATCGCTTCCTGGCCCGCTCTCGGCTAGACACTCTTTTGCTGGCAGACTTCTGCTTCAAGCCTTTGCACTTATCTTTCCTTCTTCCTAGAATGTTCTCACCCCCAGGTTGCTCCAAAGCTCATTTCCTTTTACTGTCGGTTTCTGTTCAAATAGCACTTTCCCCCTTACTACCTGGTGGAAAACTATGGCCTTACCATGATTGTCTATTTCTTCCCAATCTACTTTCCTCAAAAGCTGCTATCAACTTTTCAGTATTATTACCATGATTTTGATGATTATTGTTGTCTATGTAATTAAGTTCAGAAGGACAATTTTAGTCTAATTGTTCACACTGTTGCATCTCACAATTTATGGTACAAGAGCACCTTTTTTTCTTTTTTTGGAGACAGGGTCTGACCAACTCAAAACTCAGATTTGCCCGCCTTTGTGTCCCAATCAATAAATGGTGTGCACCACCATTTTCAGCTCAATGCAACTTTTAATGTGACCACATTTTTCTACCCAGTTAGTAGTGACTCATCATCTATTGTAAACAAAATATTGTACATAAAAGCAGAAGGCTGCTAGTATGACAAAGTTATTTGCATAAAGCAAGATGAACTAACAGTAGAAATATACTTAATTGATAAAATCACAACCAATGCTAACGAAAATGTGTTTGGATGGCAGCTAAGATAGATTCAAAGGAGAGAACTGATCTGTAGTAATATTAAAACTGGCCCTTCCCCCATGGGCCAGAATATCTTGATGAGGGTTGAAATTCCCCAATCAGATGAAGTTAATGGGCTGTATCAGGTTCCTCTAAAACAGTGGTTCTCTATCTGTGGGTCACCACCCCTCTGGGGGTCAAATGAACCCTTCCAAGGGTCGCCTAAGAAAGACCATTGGAAAACACAGACGTTTATGTAACAAGACACAGCAGTAGTAAAATTACTGAAGCAACAAAATAATTTTATGGTTGGGGGGTCACCCCAACAGTAGGAACTGTACTAAAGGGTTGAAGCATTAGGGAAGTTGAGAATCACTGCTCTAAACACTTAATTGGAGCTTTGAAAAAGAAATGAAGATAAACGTTACCACACGGATCTTTACATGGGCCACCAAGGTTCACCCTAAGCCCCACTCTGTTATTAGGGATAACAAGGGGGGAGAAAAAAAAATCAAGTCGCCTAGAAGATATGGTTAGACAACGAAAACACAGAGGTTTGATCTTCAAGGACTGTGAGCATGAATTTAGTAGATAAAAAGTCTCTTTCACGATTTTTTAAACATCATTTTTTGTTTGCTTTGAAACAGGATCTGTATATCCCAGATTGGTCTGGAACTCGTGGATCTGTGCCTACTGAGTGCTGGAATTAAAGGCCTGTGCAACCACGCCCAGTTTATTAGTGTTTCCTTGTAAATTGAAAACCTCTTAAACCTACGATCTCTATCCTCCTTGCTTTGATAAAAGTATCAAAGCCAACTCGATGAACTGGAGGAGTTGGGGCTCAACCACTACACGGATTTTATTCCAATTAAACCTGGCAAATTACAAAAAAAGCATTCCGGAGTCAAGCGTCCCGTGTCATCATCAAACTAAGGAAAATAATATGCAAAGTATCTAAAAGCCCCTTTAAAAAGTGAAAGGGAGAAAAAAAAAGATCCACAACCAGTCAAGCGGTGCGAATTCCAAGTTCAACTCAAAGTAAACAGGTAAACAAACTGAGTTAATCACAGTTAATGCACGAAATGGAACGGAACTGCGGAGTTCTCCGGAGCGGGGAGGGACGGGCATTCTAGATTGTCTGGCCGCTCTCCTTCAGGGATCCAATTGCACCAACAGCTTCCGAGCTCCGGCGGGCCGGGCCGGGCCGGAGAGAGGCGTGCGGGGACCGGCTCTGAGCAGGGCCAGGCTCTGGCCCGCAGGACAAGGCGGCTGCAGGGCCTCTCGGGACGGCCAGCAGCGCCGGGCGGCCAGCAGCGGCCGCGCCAGGCACGACCCCGCTTTTGTTGATGGAGGCGAAGGCGGGAAGGGGGCCGCTCGGCTGAGAGAGGAAGCAGCCTCAGCCCCAGCCCGCGGGGCTGCCCATGAGGGAGCGGGCTCACCTTGGACATCATCTTCTTCAGCTGACTCTCGGACACCGCCATGGCGCGCGCCTCCGTCCCCGCAGGCAGAGGGTCAGCGCCACGGGGCCGCCCCAGGCCGCCAGACAATCGCCGCCGCCGCCCCGCCCCCGCCGAGCAGGAAGCCGGCGCGCCGTGCTTCCGCTTCCTGCGCGCCACTTCCGGGGACGCCGCTCTGGGACCGGAGACTGGGGCGTGGCGTGGGATCGGATGGATGCCCGCCGTCGCGAGCCGCACGGAGCCTCTTGGCCAGCGTCTCTGCGGGCCGCTTGCGAGCCTCGCCTCGCCTCGTCTCGCCTCGCGACGTCCCGCGGACGGCCCTGGGCCCGCGCCACTCGCTTGATAGCTTGTGGGCCTTTCCGGCCGCAGGAGTTAACCCTGACTGTCTTGCGTTTTTGGTGTTACTTTTTAAACGCTCGAAAAAGCCCTTTATGCTGTGTTCGCCAGGGCCCAGCAAGGGGCTCTCTTTCTCAAGAAGACAGTAATTTACTTTTAATCACTCCCTTTCCCGAATAATTCGTGTGCACTCAAGGCTGCAGCCTCCCACGCAAGTCTCTGATAGCAGATTTGATTTCAAATTAGAAACGAATTTCCCCCCTTTGAACCATCTCTCCAGTGTTAATCCCAAAGATGCGAGGGAAAGCCCACCGTCCCAAATCATCAAGGCCAAATTAACTCGAGTGAAGCGATTTAAGCAAGGTTTTTCATTTGTACACCGGCTGCCAGCTTTGGACAGGAGCAGGGTAAGGGTTTTTATAGCTCAGAGCTAGGGGTTTCCCATACTGGGGATTTGGCCAGTAACTAGGCATAGTTAGAGAAGCAGAACAGAACAAACTGGTCATAACAAAGGGGGGGGGGCAGGGGAGATGGCTGAGCGGTTGAGAGTATTGGTTGTCCTTTCAGAGGACGCACGTTCAATCCCCAGCACCCACATGACCGCTCATAACTGTAACTCCAGATCCAGGGGATCCCACACCCTCATACAAGGCAGTCACAACAACAGGTGGTCGTATCCTGTGGCAGTGCAGAGCCATTCGTACTTAAGGTTACAGGTGGGGGGGCATAGCCCAATCCTTGAGAAGCAGAGATTTAATCATAACCAGGAACAAACCTAGCTTGTCTTTAGTGGCCACCAGGTGGTACACATACATATATACAATGCAGGCAAAACACTCATTCCCATATAATCTTTTAAAAACTGTTAGTGACATATCAACCATTAATTCTTATTTTATAAACACAGTCATATAAAGCCTAGGATAGACAGTCGTGAAAGATATCTGGAAGGTCTTAGTATATAGTGCAACACTATCAATTCCCTTCTAAGCCAAACTGAACAAGAGGTCTATCTAAGTGAAAGAGTCATGTCAGCATAGCTCATCCAAATAGGTCACATCAGCCTTGAGTTACTGTCAGGTCTAGTCAAACCTCAGTCTAGCCTGCTGTGCCCCTTGTTTCAGGTTGTTCAGAAGCCTGCCTGGAAGCTGAGAGATGGCTTAGTGGTTAAAAGTGCTTGTTCACAGTATGAGGGCCAGAGTTCAGATCTCACAGGGCATTCCTACCCACACCTGTAACATCTACAGCACTAGCTTCAAGAGCCGTGAAGGCGTGAGTCCCAGGATCAGGAGGAGGCTGTGCTTCAAGGAACAGGATGAGAGTGATGGAGGAGTGCACTGAATGCTTCCCGCCCCCTCCCCCACCATGCCTTTAAAAATACTCCAAAAGAGCAGTTTTAAATTGTTCTTAAAGTTGTAGCTTACTTAGAAACTAGAGCAACTGTTTCTATGAATTTGAGGAGTGCTAAGTAATGCACTGCTTTTGATGTTTTCTTAACTAGGTGTGGTGATCTATAATCTATAATTGAAGTCTTGGGATGCTAAGGCAAGATAATTAAAAGATTGAGTTCTGTATAGCTTATATAACACTATCCTGTTTCAAAAGTTTTCTATCCAAAACATATATCTTTTAAATTTGTAAACAATTGATGAAGGTCATTTTCTTCACTTTGCACTTAAGCCACTTAAATGCATAATGGATGTGGGTGCTCTGAGAATGACATGAAAAATAACTCTTTAATCTGAATGTATTTTCTGTCACTTAATCAGACATCACATGGTCCTTTTAAAGTCAAAGTTTATTTCGTTAATTATTTTTTATATTTACAGAAAACAATGTAAATTGGAAAATGAAAAATATACCTTACAGTATCAAAAAACATTGTAATCCAAGCCCCAATAAAAACCATGAGGTCCTGCATGATTTTGGAAAGTGAAAGTTTCCCCCTCCTTGTCAGATGGCAAAGAAGAAAAAACATTTTACTTAACAGTGTTTTTTAAATGAGGAAATAAGTCCTTCACTAGTTTTTCCCAAAACCTGAATTTCAGAACATAATAAGAAAAAAAAATCAGTTAGGATTTATAACATGATACAGGATTGAAACTTGTCAGATTGTAGATATTACCCAGGAAATGACACTACTGCAGATCCTGTTCTTGTGCCTCAGATGAGAAATACATGAACACTGTATATTTCCCACTGGTTTTGAGACTGATACAATATATAGGTTACTCAAGTCAACATCATTTAAACCATTAAAAAAATTCAGAGAAAATGAAAGTTCCCAGACAAAAGCTCTGTGATTGTTAATAGTCACCAAATCAAAACGAGTTGGTGGTGATGGCACCACTTGACTTACATGGAACTTACGATTGCTGCTTAACTGAAGGAAGTGTGTGCTACAGAAAATGGCTTCTGTACTATGGCCTTTTGAGGTCAAACTCTAACAAAATACCAGGAGTAATGGTGAGTGTTCAAAAATATCTGTTATACTGACATTTCTTTCTATAATTAACATAGTTCTTGGCAGTTTATTGTTATAACATTATGCAGTTGGTTTATTGTTCAAGAGAGTTATTAGATTTTAGAAACTAGGTTGTGGATGAACTACGACACTGGAAGACTTGCCCAGCAAGCATCAGATTCTGGATTAGATCCCCACAAACAGAACAGAACAGAAATTGTTGCTAGGCATGGTAACTCACACTCATGAGACTTTGGTCTCAAAAGCAAATGAAGACAGCCATATAGTGGTGGCACATGCCTTTAATCCCAGCACTTGGGAGGCAGAGGCAGGCCGATTGATCCAGTTTGAGGTCAATAATTCTTTTTTTTTTTCTTCCAATACATGGTTTCTCTGTGGCTTTGAAGGCTGTCCTGGAACTAGCTCTTGTAGACCAGGCTGGTCTCAAACTCACAGATATCTGGCTGCCTCTGCCTCTTGAGTGCTGGGATTAAAGGTGTGTGCCACCACTGCCCAGCCTGGTTTATTATTCTATAATATTGAGGTTTAAGACAGCCAGGACCACATAAAGACCCTGTCTCAAAAACAAAAACAAACAAACAAAAAAAAAAAAAACCACAAAAAAACAAAAACAAACAAAAGAACCCCACCCACACAAGAATGGAATTAATCTTTTCAAAATATCCCAAGCCTCAACTACTTTAGTTAAGTGTATTGTGATAACCTGGCTTTACACCTTTAGGCCTCCCACAGCCCCTGTTGCTACCTATACAAAGCAAAGGTTGTACAGGTAAGTAATGTTCCTTGGGACCTATGCAATCTTAGAAACCAAAGTCAATCCTCCTCTGTAATGGAGACTGTCCCTACCTCAGCCAGTCAATGTAAGCAGCTCACTATACAGGAGCCATGTCACCGTGCTGTCTCTTCCACATGGAAATACTGATTGATCAATACCAAGGTATAGTCAGAACTGTTTCTTCTGGAATGACTAAGGCTTGTTCAGAAGCAGCAAACCAAGGCTTCTTTCCCTTATGACCAATGTTTTTTAGGAAAGTCTCTTACTTTTGTCTCAAAATATACTGCTTGGCTGTTATTATCTACGGCCACAGAAAAACACCTTTTCTATTAACAGTCTTAAGATACATTTGAGATCTTCTAGCCCAGGAAGAGGTTATTATAGAAATCTTCAGAAAGGAAATTACATTGGAAATTAAGTCACATATTATTTTTCATTTAAAATTTAAATTTAAAATTCCATTTAACCAATTTAAAATGCATACTAAAATCCTTTCCAATGTTTGGTAGCTAGTGAATTTGAAGAAGGAAAATAAAATGCTTTGCCATTATTATCAACAGGATCTTGCAAAAGAAGCAAGTTAATCCATAAAGCTAAGATTCTTTGAATGTATGCCTACCACAGACTTTGTGCCCATCCTACCTTCAGCTTACCATGCTTAAATAAATTTCCAATAGGAATCTTTAAGGAATGAGTTTCTTTCAGAAAATCTCTAAAGTGCTAAATGTGCCTTATGTTAGGACATGCAATTTATAAATGATATACAATACAAACAAATATTTATCCCTGCTACAAGTTTAAACAACAGTATAGGTATGTCAAAAACTCCCAAAGAAATTATATCCTTTCCCATTCTCAAGGTTTCAAATTAAAAAGCTAGCTAAGAAGCCATCTACTATAAGGGCTGTTTGTAAGAACAGATAGTAAGTTACAGAAGTTCCCAAAACTATGTGTGCTTGTGGGATTAAGTAAGCTTCCCCCTTCAGGTGACTGCACTTGGAAATCACAGTTTCAGCTGTTGTTGGAGACTGTGGATTGAGGACCCACTGTTTTGGAGTGTCTCAGTCATTGGGTCTTCTCCTGTGGTTTTGATGACTTCAGATACTCCACTGGTTCCTAGGATGCATGGCAAACTTAAAAACACTTCATTATCTAAGCCATAATATCCCTGAAATGAAAAGGATGGGGTTATAATAAAGTCGAATTACCACAGAATATTAAAGTCATGGTGCTGGAGAGATGATCCAGCAGTTAAGAGTGTATACCGCTCTCCTAGAGGATCTGAGTAGTTCCCAGTCCTCATGCCAGGCAGCTCACAAGAGCCTGCAACTCCAGCTTCAGGAGTTATAGCCTCCATGGGCACCTGCACTCACATGCACAACCCTTGCCATATACATAACTAAAGTAATAAAAACAAATTTAAAAAGTAAGAGGGTGAAAAGAATTCTCCCTTGCTTTTCTAGTTCTATTATAAAGTGACAAAAGTTAAACTTAATTTGTTTACTTATTTTCTCTTTATTATTATTATTATTTTCTTTTAAAATAAAATCTTATTATATATAGTGTTCTGTCTGTATGTGTGTTGCTGGCCAGAAGAGGGCACCAGATCTCACTACTGATGGTTGTGAGCCATCATGTGGTTGCTGGAAATTGAACTCAAGACCTCTGGAAGAGTAGTCAATTGTCTTAATCACTGAGCCATCTCTCCACTCCTGTTTACTGATGTTCTAAACTCAAGCTATGGCCCCAAAAATGTTTCAGCCAGGAGGAGCCTGGTCAGAGACACTCTCTTTGCAGGGAGGTAAACCAGTTGTCTGCAACATGGCCAGCAGCTAGAGACTAATCCAAAGAGGGACAGTGGAGTCTTTGGGGAAAGACTCTGAGCCCAGCCACACACAATATGTTATTATTATTTTTTTGTTTTGTTTTTTGAGACAGGGTTTCTCTGTGGCTTTGGAGGCTGTCCTGGAACTAGCTCTTGTAGACCAGGCTGGCCTCGAACTCACAGAGATCCACCTGCCTCTGCCTCCCGAGTGCTGGGATTAAAGGCGTGCCCTACCAACGCCCGGCTTCACAATATGTTATTTTAAATTTTCTTCCCACATTGTACTTCCTTCCTAGAGTTCAAGAAAATCTGCCCCAGCATTTATACCTACGTTAGCTGTGTTTTGGGGGGAAATTTATGCTCTGGTAAAAGGGGGAAGACTGCTGGGTGACTTGCTGGCATAGGTGATAATGACTACCAGGAAAAGCACAGGTTACATGAACACCTTTCAAAGGTCCCCAAGCTGTATGGGAGTGAAGGGGCAAGCTGATCATGCAGATTTCCCACAGCAAAGCAACTCAACTTTCAATGTCTTACACAAAAGCTGCTGGTGCTGACACTGCAGTTCTGCTGCCTTTATACAATTGATGTCAAAAACATCAAAGTCCAAAATACACGAATGGAAATAAGTTACCTTTGCTAGAGTTGATACAGAATGCACTTTCTTCTTATTATTTACAATAGTGTCCACCAGGTCAGCCACAGACAGTCCAACAGACCAAGATCTCTGGCCTTTTACTCTCAACAGTTCCATGGCTCTAGAATACAAGAGAGAGAAAGATGTCAGAAAAGTTAAGAAGGCTTGCTTTTCCTAAGATGTAAGATCCATAGTTCACAGAGGAAACACAAATACTCCATACCATAAAAAAGATGCTCACCATCATCAACTAAGTAGTTCTAAACAGTAAGTATCAGCTGGGTGTGGCGGCACATGCCTTTAACCCCGGCACTTGGGGAGGTACAGGAAGACAGGAAGACAGAACTCTGTGAGTTCCAGACTAGCCAGGACTAACTCTGCCTCATACACACACAGACAAAAAAAAAAAACTGAACAAAAAGCCATATAAATATCAGTTCAGAGCCGGGCGGTGGTGGCGCACGCCTTTAATCCCAGCACTGGGGAGGCAGAGGCAGGCGGATCTCTGTGAGTTCGAGGCCGGGCTGGACCGACAGCCTCCAAAACAATACAGAGAAACCCTGTCTCGAAAAACCAAAAAAAAAAAAAAAAAAAAAAAAAAAAAAAGATAAATATCAGTTCAGTCTAACAACACTGACAATGATAAAAAGGAATGATAACTAGTTTGGGGGATTGTATGAAGAAAGTAGCAGTTATAATCGCCGCTAAGAATATAAAGCAATGTCAAGGAAAACCGAAAGCACTGATCTAGAAACCCCTTTTCTCATCCTTTGTCCTATAGGTCAAAGTGTGCAAAGGTATACGTAAGAGCATGTTTTCTGTATTTGAGAAAAACTTATCAAAAGGGAACTAGTTAAATTAGCCACTGCCACATGCCACACCACATAGCTCTTACAAAAATAAGGCTGGGGCTGGAGCGATGGCTCAGAGGTTGGAAAGCACAGGCTGCTTTTCCACAAGACCAGTTCAGGTCCCAGCACCCAAGTCAGGAAGCTCACAAAACTGCCAGTAACTCCAGCCCCAGGGGAGCAGACACCCTCTTCTAGCACCCATGCATGCGCGCATGCGTGTACAAACACACACACACACACACACACACACACACACACACACGAACAAAAATAAGTCACAGAAAAGAAGGGAGGCTGGTACCATCTATTTTCAGACCATTTGTTATTTCATCATCATCAACAATGCTCTCAGGTCTGGCGTAGTAGTAAAGTGTAGATTTTTAAATCGCCAGCTTTGTGAGTTTTAGCACATGTACCAGCTGGGAAGAGCAGTGAGAGAGGTAACTATGATGCTTCATTAGCAGGCTCCTCCGTGTCGTTTTGTTTGGATGGCACTGGGGATTAAACCTGGAGCCATGGATATGCTAAAAGACTAAACTCCCGTGTCTTTCGCCAAAGCTGCAGGTGCTGACACAGCAGTCCTCCTGCTTTATATGCTCAGAGTCTAAAATGCAGGAATGAAAATAAAGTTACCCGTCCTGAAGCTAATAGAGAACACACTCTCATGAAGTCTACTAGGAGGCTGGGCAGTGGTGGCACATGCCTTTAATCCCAGCACTAGGGAAGCAGAGGCAGAAGGATCCCTGTGAGTTCCAGGACAGCCAGGGCTACAGAGAGAAACCCTGTCTTGGAAAAACTAAAACAAAACAAAACAAAGGCCACTAGGAGAGATGGAGACATGGCTCAGCAGTGAAGAGCACAGGGGACCCAGGTTTGGCCACCAGCACCCAGTGGGTGGCTCACCACTGCCTGTAACTTCAGTTCCAGGGGCTCTGATATCCTTGTCTAACCTGCATATATGTCAGACACACATGTAGTGTGCATATACACATACAAGCAAATCTTTATACATAAAAACAAAAATAAATGCTAAAAAAAAGGCAGACTTACATGTACAATAGAGAAAGGTATTTAACTTTATAATTAATCAGGCTGCAGGATGGTACAGACAGTATAATCTATTGTAAATGAACACTGTATGTGCAGAAATATTACAAAGTTGGGGTGTGTGACATTAAACTAGTTGTATCTAGAAGATAGAATTATCTCCAATTTTTACTCTCTATAAGCAGCTGTGGTACCCGAAGTTTATTATAATAGGCATAAAGTATGTAAGTTAAAACTAAATTTATTCCATTTAAAAACTATGGGGAGCAAAATTCAGTGGTAAAACTCATGCTTAGCATATCCATGGCTCTGAGTTTAATCTCCAGCACCATCAAACAAAACCAAAAACAACAAAAAAGAAGCTATAATACAATAAAGCAGTTTTGTTTTACATTCCCTTTCTTACTACTGTTACATGTGCTAAAACTCACAAACTGAAGATTTACAGATCTATACTTTACTACCACGCCAGACTTAAGGGGAGTATTACGTGGGATGGAGAAATAACAAATGGTTTGGAAATAATCTGTGTGTTTACCCAGTGTGTGGGGCAAACCCCAGAAGGCCTCCAGATAGTGTCCCTGTGCTGCCCTACCCCCTGATAAGACCAGGAAAAACTCTGGTCTTAGACTGATTTTCAAATGTACTCATGTGTACTCAGTGTCCGTCCATCTCTAGGTGCTTGTGCAGATGAGTCCTCTCCCACACTAATAGCATTAGGTAAGCAGACAGATACAAAGGAGGCAAACTACTGGCTCAAGTGCGTACACTGCTCTCCATTTAGATGTCTAAACAAGCTTGCACAGTACTCCCAAAGTCCAGGGCTGCACAGAAGTCCTGCACAAAGTCCTCGCACTTCCAGACTTCCTGTGAGCTAATCCCACTTACAGGGGCCTCGTGAGAACTGCTGTGTAAACGGCTGCCTGGTCGGCTACGAAGCACATGACTTAGTTGGATATTCAAAAATTTGCGCTGTTACCTGCTGGACAGCTCTGCCTGGGAGCTATGACTCATTACTCCGTCTCGGCCACTCCATGAGCACACTAAAATTAAACAAGGAATTAGTTATATTTTGCCAATGATTTTCTTAAGACTTAGATGTGATATATGACTGAGAGTGATGGCTTATGCTTTTAATTATAGCCATCAGGAGTCAGAAGCAGGAACAACAAAACCAGACGATTTAGTGATGTGTCAGTAACTACGGATACAGCAGAATGCGGACACTCCCTTCTTCAAGCTGATTATAAGCTGCCCTGGTGCAGGGACCACTTGCTCCTCTGTTGTGTCCTCTCTAATACATTTTCTATTGTGATGCTGAGGACACAGAAGCTAATGAACAATCAACCCCACACTCCATTCAAGATCATATTTGGTAACAACAACAACAAAACCAAAAAAAAAAAAAAGGCTGTGTAAATATAGTTAAAGTGAAAACATGGAGAGGCTTCAACCTTTCTTTGTAATGCTGGGTTCGAACCCGGGGCCTTGCTCATTCTGGGCAGGAGCTCCACCACTGTACTCCACACCCTGTTGTCTGCCTCCAAAACAAACAACCACACACACACACACAATCCATTTGGCAAGTAAAAAAGAACACAAACTCAAGAACTGTTATACAAAAAATATGAGCATAGGAGTCTAAGAAATTTTTAATGTATTTTTACTGCTTTTTTCTTTTTGTTGTTTTTGAGACACAGTCTCACCGTAGAGCACTGGCCTGCCTGGAACTCCTTTTGTAGACCAGGCTGGCCTTGAACTCTCAGTGATCCTTTTGCCTCTGCTTCCTGAGTGTTGGGATTAAACGTATAAACTACCAGGCCAGGCCCAAGAAATTTTAAAAATGTTCTATTTAGAAGGGTTATATAAGAATTATTTACTTAAGTTTTCTGCTGTATTATTAAAATATTACCTGGGACATGGGAAACATTTGCTAACTGAAATACAGTATTATATATATCTTGAAAGGATAAATAAAAATAGTAAGGTAGGCAGGTGGATTGTGGTACTCCCATTTAATCCCAGCACTTGGGAGGGAGAGGCAGGTGGATCTCTGTGAGTGCGAGGCCAGCCTGGTCTACAGAAAGAGTTCTAGGACAGTTAGGGCTACACAGAGAAACGCAGGTTGTCACACAGAGAAAGCCTGTCTTGAAAAACAAAACAACAAAAGACTAAGAAAATAGTAAGGATGCCGGACGTTGGTGGCGCACGCCTTTAATCCCAGCACTCGGGAGGCAGAGGCAGGCAGATCTCTGTGAGTTCGAGGCCGGGCTGGACCGACAGCCTCCAAAACAATACAGAGAAACCCTGTCTCGAAAAACCAAAAAAAAAAAAAAAAAAAAAAAAAAAAAAAGAAAATAGTAAGGTAGGCATGAGAAAAGATTCACAAAGGAGATAAAATAGTAAGAAAATAATGAGTATTGCTGCCAATATGCATTGTTAAGATGGGACAGATGGATAAATAGGAATCTCATATCCATCTTTGTACTTAAATCTTTTAAAATTTTATTTATTTATGTATATGAGTGTTCTATTTGCATGTATGTCTGCATGACAGAAGAGGGCATCAGACAGAACATAAAACCAGATCCTACTATAGACGATTGTGAGCCACCATGTGGTTGCTGTGAATTGAACTCAGGACCTCTGGAAGAGCAGCCAATGCATCTCTCCTGCTCCCCTTTTAAGATTTATTTTATTTTATGTGCATGTTGTCTGCAGCTATGTATGTGCACAGAAGCTGTGCTCAGAGGTCAGAAAAGGGCATCAGAGCCCCTGAAACTGGAGTTCCAGGCGGTCGTGAGCCACCACGTGGCGTTCAGAATGGAACCCAGCCTTCTGCAAGAACAAGCGCTCTTAGCCACCAAGCCCCTCTCTAGTCCTGTGCATCTTACATCTTGTAATCTTTCCACAGCAGGAGCCCTGACTCCTAAGTTAAAATGCTTAGTGTTCAAATCCACTTATAACAAAGTAAGGCAAATCAGGATTCATTTAATTACTTCATTTTCTATTTTACTACCCAATCCTTTACATTCTAATGTAGATCCACCCTTGGTCAATACATTTAAAATAATGCACTTAATCATCTTTATCTTTCATTCCCAATTCCTCAAAAACAGGCTCCAAAAATTTTAATGAAAAAAAAAATGCCCATAGGGGACACTGCTGTAGCTTAGTCAGTAGAGTGCATGTTTAGAATGTCTGAAGCCCTGGGTTCAACTCTCAGCACTAGATAATTATAACTGAGTGTGGCGACACACACCTGCACTAAGAAGGTAATGAAAGGAGGATCAGAAGATCAAAGATCATCCTCAGCCAATAGCAAGTTTAAGGGTATATGAGGCCTTGTTTCAAAACTTAATAAAGATACTGCCTATAGTGTGGTGATATTTTGTTCATGCCTGAAGGTCAGAGTGCAAAGCTAGTCACACTAGCCAGCCATAGAGGTCAAGCAGTGGTGTCACATACCTTTAATCCCAGCACTTGGGAGAGAGACAGATGCCTCTCTGTTAGTTCAAGGCCACCCTGAGCTACGTGAAATTGATCCAGTCTAAAAGAAACAGAGCTCACACAAAGGTGATCTCAGCACTTGGGATCCCATGTCTTTAGTCCCAGCACTAGAGAAGAATATAAGGTTGGAGGAGACAGGAGCTCAGTGCAGTCTAAAGTACTTCATAAAAAGGATAACAGTTAAAAATCAATTCTATCATATTACAGTTGTCATTTATGCAAAAATTATTACCAGTTGGTATCTAATCTACAGCCAGCAGAGGGGGCCTCTGATCCATTTCTGCCTTTAGGGCCGTGTAAGGAAGCCTAGCCATGAAGAGTTGAAGACTCTACAAAAGTGAGAGCCAGGAGTGTAGGTCTACGGTTAGAGTTTGTCTAGTAAGTACAAGGATCCCTGGCATGGATCCTAGCACTGTAAAAGGCAAAACAAGACATCAGATGCTTTCCTAGACAGTAAGCAGGACGACAGCCTGGGAAGTGTGAGCCGCTTCCTAGGTGCTCACGATGCTCCTGACTGAGTGTACATTCATGAGTGCTTGCTCTATTAGGTTTCAAAATTTGCACATGGATCTCTCTATATAATTTATACACATATATGTCAAATATTACAACACTATATTTAAATAATCCCAATTTGCACTCTCCTATATTCTTCCGTGTCTGATTCTCAGCTGAGAACGGACGTTAGAAGTACCATGTCTATTCCCTATGTTTTCACTTGGTAATAAACCTATCCTGCCTTGTGGTCATTACTACATGAAGCTCCAGGCTTCCAGGAGATGGGTAGTCAGTGGTCACCATAGTATCTTAGGCAACACAGGTGATCATCAAAACTTTCTGAAATAAATCCCTACATTTGGGGCTCAGTGGTTAGGAACACTGACTGCTCTTCCAGAAGACACAGGTTCAGTTCCCATTACCAACATGGCAGCTCACACCTGTCTGTAACTCCAGGATCCAACTAACATGCTCACACAGATACACAGGCAAAATACCAACGCACATAAAATAAATTTTAAAAAGAGACATACTGGGGGTTGGAGAGATGGCTCAGTGGTTAAGAGCTCTGGCTGCTCTTCAGAGGACCCGAGTTCAATTCCCAGCACCTGGCAGCTCACAACTGTCTGTAACTCCAGTTCCAGGGGATCTGATATCCTCATACCAATATGCATAAAATAAAGTTAATTATAAAACTACTTTTTAAAGAGATTTTAAATTATTAAAGAACTCAATTTATATTAAATTATTTTCCTTCCTTCAACTAGACATACTAGATAAACAGCCACATACTAAATGACAGCATCCTATACATACATATATATATATACATATATATACACACGTATATTTTTGTGATTTTGTAAGTTACTTACACATATGCATGTATTATGCTGTTGTTAGGAATAGTTTATTGATCACACTACAAAGGAGGAATAGGTCAGGCAGTAACTACATAGTACTGCCTGTGTAACACAATGTATTTTGAAATGTTCTTTTTTTGGGGATGGGGGAAGTTTGAGACAGGATTTCTCTGTATAACATCCCTGGCTGTGGAGCTCACTTTGTAGAGCAGGCTGGTTTCAAACTCCGACTCTGTCTCCCACATACTGGGGTTAAAGGTATGCTCATCAATGCCTGGCCTTGAAATGTTCTTACTCAACTCAATATTTATTATACATGAAAAACTACATCATCTTATTAGGGGAACACACACACACACACACACACACACACACACACTGGAATGTTTTCACCATTCTTTATTTACTATCTACTCAAGTCCTACCCATTCTTCCAACGCCTAGTTCAATTGACTGGCTTTACCATCATTCAAGGTATTATTGATACAGTATTCCTTTTTTCCTAATGATTTCAACCAATGTCAAATGTGTAAATGTCTAAGCACCAGAATAATGCTTGATCAAAGAGTATCCTGTACTCATCAGCTGAAACATCTGATATTTTCTTCTCTATAAAACAGAGAGTGTGTTCCCCACCTTTCACATTACAGGGCATGTGGTGCCGCCCGCAGAAAGTACAGCGTAGACCCTCATGCTCCTGCTACGTGGGTGGAAGTGACTGACTGAGGGCAGCTGCAGTGCTAGCTCCTGGCCAGCCTGGCTTCACACAGAACAAGGTGGAAAGGAAGGCATCTCAAATACAGAAAGCCTCCATTCAGGAGAAGAAAAGGGTTTTGTTTTTGTTGCCATACAGGGAGCTGAAGGGGTGCTTTTATGATAGGGAGAGAAGTAGTTTGTTAAAAAGGATACAGGGTGAAAATTCATTAAAAAAAAAAAAGAAACTAAGAGGAGGCATGCATTTAGGAAGAAAGACCAAGGTTAGGAAAAACAGAGTCGGATGTGGAGAGAGTAATGGGGACTTCTAAATGCTTCAGATGTGTTGAAATAGAAAATTAAAACTTAAATTAGTTCTAGACACCATATTCAATTTGTATTTGACTAAGGGGTCTTTTCTTAAGCTCAAGGAAAACAAATAAATGAGTATCACATGGGTCAGGTTTAGCTCAGTGGTAGTGTACCTGCCTAACACACTTGAGGCCCTAGATTCTATTCCCAGAAACACCCACCCACCCAGCCAGCCAGCCACCCACCCACCCAGCCAGCCACCCACCCACCCAGCCAGCCAGCCACCCACCCACCCAGCCAGCCAGCCACCCACCCACCCAGCCAGCAAATGCTCCTCATGAAGGCTGGTTAGCAGAAGGCACTTACTGAGCTCCCTAATTCTTAGGTCCCAAATAGATCTGAATGTCATGACTTTCAGAGAGCATCAGCAGCAAAATTAATAACAATGTACTTACCTTTGTTTTCTCCCTGTTCACCAACAACCCATACTTTTTTGCCTGAAGTCTGTGCTTTCAAAACATTCATAATAATGTATTGTAATCTCTGTGAATCCAGATTGCATCCGATCCCAATCACTCTATTTGCAGGGAATGTGCTCAGTTTCCACGTCACATAGCTCATGATTTCCACTAAATATTACACAGAGAAAGAAAATTTAAAGATTAAAAATGCTTCTATCCTAGCTCACAAGGGAAGTAGTGTTTCACTAGTGAAGCATGTTAGAGCCTCTGGAAATCTTAAACATACTGAAGGCAGGGTCTTGCTACATAATCTAGGTGGCCTTGAACTCCCAATCTTCCTCCCTCTGCTCCCAAGTATTGAGATTACATAGCTGGTAGTATGTTCATAAATTGTATTGAAAACACTAGCCAGGTTAAAGCATTTTTATATAATTTTCTCATAAAACATAGGAGTAGAAAATAAGTTCCCAGAACAGTTAAGCAAGAAAAGTGAAAACTGAGTATAGAAAGCAGGAAAACAATAATTTCATTTCTGTGTGTGTGTGTGTGAGTGTGTGTTGGGCTTAAATTATATATTGTTATGACTATAGCACCTTGAAAATACCTCACAATTGCCCTTGTTCTTACACGACAAAAGGTTCCCAGGAGTTAAAGAGAGCAATGTCTCTGACAATTATAAATGAAACACAGAACTCTGGAACATTTCAAACACACACTAAACTGACTGAGCCCAAACCACCTAAGTCTTTGGAAACATTTACAAAATATGAACTGTTAAAGATGACGGTGAGGGGGTGAGATGGCGCAGTAAGTAAAGGTAGCTGCCGTTAAGTCTGGCAATCTCAGTCCAACGCCCAGAACCCACATGGCGGAAGCAGAGTGGTCCTCTGACATTCACACACAGTGGGTACATATGTACACGGTCACACAAAAATAAAACCAATGGAAAGACAATGCTTTATATGAACACTGATGTTTCCTCACATCTCTGTAACGCTGGAGATTTAAGTTATCTTACACATAAATTCCACTGCATGTTTCCCTTAGGTTTCAACCATTTTTTCACTGAAGGAGGTAAGACTAACAACTGGAAAATAATACCACATTTTGTCAGTGGCCGTGTCAGAGGAGCTGCAGTCAGCAATGGAACTTTTGGAGTTCATTCACGGGATAGCAAAGCTACAATGAACAAACCCTGGAGAACCAAAGCCCTGAATGGGGGCCGGACACGCACGCACGCACGCACGCACGCACGCACGCCACACTGTCTCCAGAATGCCCCTGGCTTCTGCTATGCTTCCTCCTGCTTGCTGCAGCCGCCATGTTCCTGCTGTTTCTGGCATGGTAATTACCCTGTGAAAGGATCCCACAGTGTCTAGCATAGTGTGGTTGTTTCATGAGAAAATCCCACTCCTCACTGGGCAATTTAACTACATATCTTAATGAAGATGATTTTTATAAGAGCAATGATGGTTTTTTTTTTTTTTTTTTTTTGGTTTTTCGAGACAGGGTTTCTCTGTATTGTTGTATTGTTTTGGAGGCTGTCCTGGAACTAGGTCTGTAGATCAGGCTGGCCTCGAACTCATAGAGATCCGCCTGCCTCTGCCTCCCGAGTGCTGGGATTAAAGGCGTGCGACACCAACGCCCGGCACAATGATGATTGTTGAATCTATGATTTAATTAAACTTTCTGAATCAGCCTAAAGATAGTGATTGGGACAGTTAGTAACGATGACTAAGAAAATGATTTAGGCTATTCTGCCTAAGGATCCTGTAAGAGATACAAAAAAAAGGCTAGCAGTCCCCTTTCCCTTTGTTAGATGTGAAATTTGCAGAGGATAGAAAATAAGAACACGGAACTTTCATGCATTATACACCCATGAATCCTGCCTGTAGAAAAACAGGCTGATGATCAAAGAAAGCAATTATGACCTAAACCCAAGGTTACGCCTGAGTTCCTTGGTGATATAGTTTACAGAATTAATCACAGGTGTTGGTATGCACCTTGGAAAAAAGCAAAATTGTGAAAGGAAATTAAATGACCCTATTGTGTATAAAGAATAAAGAAAAATAGATGGTTAGCTAGACCACTCGTTTAAAGTTTTATATGGGAAGCCGGGCGGTGGTGGCGCACGCCTTTAATCCCAGCACTCGGGAGGCAGAGGCAGGCGGATCTCCGTGAGTTCGAGGCCGGACTGGACCGACAGCCTCGAAAACAATACAGAGAAACCCTGTCTCGAAAAACAAAAAAAAAAAAAAAAGTTTTATATGGGATAGAAATGTGCTACATTGAAACCACAAATAGCTACCTGCCAATACAAAATGAAGTGGCTAAAATATGCTTGGCTTGCTAAGAAGTCTGGGTTTTTTTTGTTTTGTTTTGTTTTTGTTTTTCCGAGACAGGGTTTCTCTGTATTGTTTTGGAGGCTGTCCTGGAACTTGCTCTGTAGATCAGGCTGGCCTCGAACTCACAGAGATCCACCTGCCTCTGCCTCCCAAGTGCTGGGACTAAAGGCGTGAACCACCAACGCCTGGCTTTTAAAAACTTGGTTAATCAGTAATAAAAGAATCATTGCTTTGGAATGAAGATACTACAGTGGGAAAATTAGTACAAAGGAAAATGTTTAACTACTTGTGGACTCCTAAGGAAAACATAACTTGTGATTTTAATATGACTTCTTATGGAAAGGTTTTAATTTGTTTTTGGATTTTGCATAGAAATCTTTGTTTTGGCTGACATGAAAGGGATAAGGGAGAAATACAGAACAGAAGCGGGGGCAGAGAAAAATACTAAAATGAGGGTTAAGCTCTGGCCCTCAGAAAGTCTCCTGTGTGTGGCGGTCCTGCCAATGCCACACCTCCTCTCCTGTGTCTCTGACCTGCTGAGCGGGTTCTCTTGGCAACACTGCAGGAAAAGCTGAGTTGTAACCTTAGTAATAACAGCTATAAGGGGTTAACTGTTGACAGAATATACACATATGTACTGTCCACTGTAACATTAGCCTGACTGAATATCCCTTTATATACCACGGTGCTTTGGGCTTTGCTCTAATCAGCAATGGCGATTATACTGATGATTTGGACCATCATTTGAATTTAAAGTAAAGCCTTTTACCTGGCTGAGATGCAACAAGGAAGACAGCACGTTGGCTATAATGTCCCAGAGCTGGGACAAGAGCTCTGAACATGTCCACATTGCTTTGCACGGCATGCAGGTAGGACTCAGAACCACCCAAAGAGTTGGCTGTGAAGATCACCACCTTGGAATGAGCAGAGGCAGACAAATCTGATGAACAAAAAGAAACAGTCTGAGTTCAACATAGTATAGACTAATGCTAGTACATGAGAAAACTGTGAACATTCTGCGAACAGAGCCGTTAGGCAGACATGCCCCTGTAGCTATCAGTCAGAATGCTGAGGAGTAACACCAGAGATCCCAGGGCCACGCATGGTGGTACACGGCTGCGTGTGATCTACCACTTGGGAGGTAGCAGAATGGCTTCACATTGGAGGCCAGCCTGGGACACATAACAAGACAGGCAGGAAGTTAGAAAGAGTGAGCACAGTACACAAAGACTGAAGGTTCTATGTAATTCACAATTCTTAAGGGGAAATGAGTAACATGCTATAGGTAAAATGCGCTGACAGCCCAGCCACTGGCTTCTGACTCCTTGAAAGTGACTGTGCTACAACCCGGGGAGGAGGGCTGAGCACAGAAGTGAAGCGACGGGCAAGTCAGCAGAGGCGCTGGAATTCCGGCCAACAAGTCTGGTTTCAGATGCTATGCTATTCTATCAACCCTCCTTGGAAAAATGAAAACTGGTAGCTGGAAACGTTAGAAAAGTCAGTGACTGCCAGGCAGTGGTGATGCACGTCTTTAATCCCAGCACTTGGGAGGCAAAAGCGGGTGGACTCAGTGAGTTCAAGACCAGCCTGATTTACAAAGCAAGTTCCAGGGCAGCCAGTGACACAGAGAAACCCTGTCTCAAAAAACCAAACCAAACCAGTGACCAGTTCAATGTACAACACTACACCTTGGCTTCAACCTAATTTGATAGAATCCTTCTCCTTTGCCTCCTCTGCCTTGAATGATAAAAACGTCCTCATTTCACAGGTAATTCTGAGTCCCTACTTGGTGGCAAGTACCATGCCATGTACTGTACATTTCTTTCAAAGATTCTGTTCCCTCATTTTCAATTATTTCACTAGTTAATGGCTAATGAGACACACAGGAAAAAAAAAAAAAAAGGATTTCCTTAGGTCCTGACAGCCTCTTCCTCTAGGGTCTGATACTAAAGAGTTTCTCCTACAGGATCTGGAGAGTTAAAAGGTCCCTTACTTCAGGGCTGGGAACAATGAACACAAGAGAATATCCAGCTCCCCAAGGGGCCTTACACAGCCATTAAAGCAACTACAGTGCTCTCTCAGATGAGGAAAACGAACTAATTGTCTCCTCCAGGGCCCGAAATGCTTGTTGAACGGTGATGTACTATTTTTAGAACAGACAGACAAGGCAACTGTACATCCTAGTTTGTGGGACTGCTTTATACAGTATTTGGAAAACAGTCAAGAAATATAGGAGACCTAAGGAAAGACAAAAGATGCCCACACCACTGTGCCATGTATAAGATGGGCTTATGTATAAACATAAAAACAGAAATGACCTGTTTTTATTATTTTGAATTTTTAATTTATTTTTCATGTATCTGTGTGCATGCCGTGTGTGGGTGCTTATGGAGGTTGCTGGAACCCCTAGAGCTAGAGTTACAGGCAGTTGTGAGCTGCCTCATCTGGGTGTTGGGAACCAAACTGGGGTCCTCTGCAAGAGAAGCATGTGATCTTCTTATCCACTGAGCCAGCTCTCTAGGCTTGGTGGGTTTGTTTTTAAAATTATGCATTCCTCGTAGATATTTTTAAACCTGCATCCCCAAATATGGTATTTACCTAGATAAATATATCTGTAATAATATGATGTTACATATACTATAAAATGATGCCTTTTTTAAAAGGCAGAAGAGTAGCATTGGTGGCAGGTGCCTACAGTCTCCACTAAATTTGAGAGGTAGGGAAACAGCAAGGCTGAGGCTCACACACACAAAAGGAATGAGACAGCAAAAAGGATTTTTCTTTTTCTTTTTGTGGGTGTTGGGATTGAACCCAGGGATATGAGGATACACTATAGGTGAGTCCTCTACCACTGTTGTATGCCACCAACTGCCTAAAATAAAATTTCACATCTTATTTATTGCACAACAACCTTTTTATTCTCATTAGAACTCATGATAAATATGGTTTGAGCACAGTCAAAGTGAACTGAGTGTCTTTTGTTAAATCGTGGCTTAGCCCTCTCCCATGCACCACAGCGGACAGTGCATGCCCAGTTACAGTTGAGAAACTGAACTTACTTTTTTTTTAATGTATAAGTGCTCTGTCCACATGCATGCCTGCATGCTAGAAGAGGTCATCAGATCCTGTGATAGACGGTTGTGCGCCACCAAAAGTGCTGGGAATCAAACTCAGGACCTCTGGAAGAGCAGCCAGTGCTCTTAACCTCTGAGCCATCTCTCCCGCCTCAAAACTGAATCTACAATGCAGACAGACTATGTAACATGTGAATGTCAGACTATAATGTGGCTGAGGATAAGATGAAAACTGCACCTGCCTAAGTGTAAAGTCAGTGCTCTGAACTAATATATCCTGAGAAAGGAAGCACCCATAGAAACGCTTACTTGGAGATGTAAATCAGAGAAGAATCATAAATACTTTTGACCAATTGGAATGAGTCTGAATGGTATTTGCTCGCTTGACTCTGCCAACATAATCGGTTATAATCAGTGTAAGACTGTGGATAAACCCACTGACTCATTTCCAGGTCTTCGTTTCCCATATGTAAAACAAGGGACTAGGAACAGGTGATCTTCATGGTACTTTTCAGCCTTAAGATTCTAGCACCTGGACTGGAGAAACGGTTCAGTGAATAAAGGCTTCTGCCGCTAGACTTAACGACCCGAGTTTGACCCCAGGACCCACATACAAGAGAAGCAACTCTCAAAGGTACACAACGCTGTATGTGCCCACTTCCCACAAGGAAGAAGATGATTAAAATATATTTTTATATCTAATTGAAAAACAATCCAGGACTTAATTCCCAGTCCCATAAATAAACAATCCAAGACTCATTTGCTACAGCAAGTAACTCAACAGAATAGTCAAACCTTTGCTGATCTCTACATTAGGCAGGTTGAAGATGTCAAGGTCCATCGTCCCCTGGTTAGTCCCATCTGAGAGGTCTAAAAGGAGCAGCTTGTCTGCAATGCCCTGTGTTGAAAGATTAGAACAAGAAGAGTATTCTACCAACACAGCCGGTACCCAACAGGAGCTCACTGAGAAGACTCAGGAGGCCTGCTGACTGCTTGAGAATGAAAAATGACACAGCAACAGTGAAGGAGATGTGTAACAAGACAACATTGCGTGAGTGACGCACCCCTTCAGGCTGGACCACTGAATCCCAGGCCCTAACGTGGCCTACTCAGGAGGCAAACTCTATCTTCCTTTTTTTTTTTTTTTTTTTTTTTTTTTTTTGGTTTTTCGAGACAGGGTTTCTCTGTATTGTTTTGGAGCCTGTCCTGGAACTCGCTTGGTAGACCAGGCTTGGTCTCGAACTCAGAGATCCGCCTGCCTCTGCCTCCCGAGTGCTGGGATTAAAGGCGTGCGCCACCACCGCCTGGCTCTATCTTCTTTTGCTGGAACAAGCGGCAAAGGGAGTGTGCTGCACTAGGTAGGCATGCTACTGCTCCCTTGAACTTTGATTTTTAATGCCACAGTATCTGCCATTGCTACAGTTCTTCTCTTATTTAGGTTTTCCTGAGACTTAGTTTTTCTGTGTAGCCCTGAACTCACAGAGATCCACCTGATTCTGCCTGCCAGGTGTTGGATTAAAGGCGTGAGCCACCTATGCTCAGCTCAATTTAACAATTTCTTTTTTTTTTTAAGATTTATTTATTTATTATGAATACAACATCTTGCCTCATGTTATGTCTGCACACCAGAAGAGGACACCAGATCTCATTATGGATGCTGGAAATTGAACTCAGAACCTCTGGAAGAGCAGTCAGTGCTCTTAACCTCTGAGTCATCTCTCTAGCCCTCAATTTAACAATTTCTAAAAACATTTTAGAAACTCAAAAATCGGTAAATTATTTAATACACTAATCTCATTTATGGAAGCCATCCTGCAAGTATACAAGTACATGTGAAAAATAACACAATATGTATAGATAATCAAGATGAGAATCAACCTGGGTACTCACTTCAAACAAGATAAGAAGCAATGCAAAACAGAGTTTTGGAAGGGGGCTCAGGCTATGCTGGACTGCTGAGTCACCTGTGGGGAGCTGATTACCAGGCTGCAGTAAAATGAAGATTTAGAAGAAGACTATGCATTTCTAATCAATTCTTAGGAGATGCAAGTGTTACCGCTCTTAAAGCCACACTCTGAAAGTCAAGTGTGGCAGTAAATGCCTGTAATCCTGGCACTCAAGAGGCTGAGGAAGGAGGACTATTTAAGAGCTGGTTGGGTTGCACAGCAAAACTCTGGCAATGATCTAGACTCTAAGTTCTGATCCTCAGAAACCCATGCAAATAAATGTGGGAAGGAAATGGCAGTCCACAATTAACTGCAGCCTCAGAAGGCAGAGAGGGAGTCCCCAGAGAAAACTGGCTGGTGAGACTAGCCATATTGTTCAGCTCTGTGTTTGACTGAAAAAGCCTGCTTTCAGGCATAAAGTAGAAGAACAATTGAGGATGATTCCCGACATCAACCTCAGGTTTCCTCATGCATAAAAACACTTGGTGGTGCACGCCTTTAATCCCAGCACTCAGGAGGCAGAGGCAGGTGGATCTCTGTGAGCTCGAGGCCAGCCTGGTCTACAGAGCGAGTGCCAGGATAAGCTCCAAAGCTACACAGAGAAACCCTGTCTTGAAAACAAACAAACAAACAACAAAACAAAAAACCCACTTGTGTTCATGTACCACATGCATAAGTTCCACAATGTGTACTTGCACATGCCAAAAAATGTATATACACATATGCAACATACACACACATGAAAAGTGGAAAAAGAAAAAAAATTAAAGTCTACTAATAAAAGTATAGATATGTTTCCAGTCACTAGGTTTACATACCTTTGCTGAAATTGCCAATGTGCAGGCAATACCCAAATCTCCACTTCCAACTACGGTAACTTTATTGGGTATTTTATTCTCATTATTTGACCAGCCCCTTGAATTTATGTCTGAGACACCTATGGAAAAAAAAGTTCATCCTGAGAATTAAAAAGTAACATTAAAAAATCTTTTTACCATTTACAAACTTGGTCAGGCTGCATACATTTATAATGCCACCACTCAAGAAGTTTAGAAGGATTGCAAGTTCAAGACTAGCCTGAACCACATAGTATGACCTTGTTCTCCTATCCCCTCCCTCCAAAAAATCCCTTCTAGCATCTTCTTAAAGATAAACTTCACAAGCTCTGATTCTATAGATTAAAAAAATAAACCACTTCCTGAACTAATGAAGGCAAGGGCAGGAGCCTGAAACTAAACTTGGGGGCTCACTCCTATAATCCCAGCAACCAGGAAACAGAGGCAGTGCCTGGGCTACATGGTGACACCTAGTCTAGGGAGCAGGAGGCGGAAGAGGAGGAGGCTGGGCATTTCTGTGCATGTCTGCAATCCCAGCAACTTTGAGAAGGCAGGAAGGTCAGGAGTTCAAGGTGATCTTCAGCTCACAGAGTTTGAGGCCAGTCATGATTGCCTGACTGAGATCCCGTCTCAAACTAACAAACACATTGCACTCTCCCTCCCCCCAAAATCCAGGAGTCTTACAATGAATGTTGTTTTACATAGAGGTTCTCCTTTTAAAAGACATTTAAACATTTAAAACTTTTTATTTGGGGCTGGAGAGATGGCTCATCGGTTAAGAGCACAGGCTGCTCTTCCAGAAGACCTGGGCTCAATTCCCAGCACGCAGGTGGCAGCCCACAACTGTCCATAACTCTAGTCCCAGAGGACCCAACACCCTCATACAGACACACATGCAAACATGCTAATGCACATAATAAAAAGGAACCATTAAAAGAAGAGTGGGAGAGCACAAGGGAAGGGTGCAGGGGGAATAGGATAGAACACCTTGGGTACATGTATGAAAATGTCATACTTGAAGCCTACTACTATGTCTAATTGTTACATGCTAGTTGGAGACTGAGGAAGACACTCAACTCTGACCTCAACATTCACAAAAATCCTAATGAAAAATTCTAGATTCAAACATTTGGTCTTACTCCCAATAAGAAACTCAGAGTCTGGTCCCATATACTGGATAAGCCAAAAAGCTATAGAAACATGTAATGATAAAGGTTTGGACAATTAATTTATAAGGGGCTCTGAACAAAGCAAGAACTATTTTATCTGACTATGTAAGAGTAACATTTTTATCTTTAACAAACTTTAATTGGAACTATGTGGTAATACCTTATGACTAATATACAGCAATATATATACATATATACATATAGACACACACATATACACATTTATTTACTGAATTTAGATAGCAAAGAGTACAGAATATTAGTGAGAAATTCTAGCTTTTTTTTTTTTGGAGAAATTCTAACTTCTTCACTCTTAAGGTGATCTGACTGACAATACAAACCTTCAGTGATTTTTGCAATATAGGCTAGCAAGTCGACCTGCTGTGCTTCATTGGATGATGGCACCGAATAAAGAGGAAGTTCCTCCTGAAACTTGGCGATCATTTCTTTAATTAATCCAACAATGACAGATTTAGGCTGAAGAATACAGGCAAAGGGAAAAGTTACCATTTTTTCTAAGGAACGCCAGTTTTATATTGTCAGTCAGTCAAGGTGATCTTTGAACAATGCACAGTTGAAAGCTACACATACTGACTCCCCAGACTTCCTATTAAGGGCCTGCGCTTCGTCGTCACTACAAGCCCTGCCTGTTTTCTTTCTCCATCCTGCTGGGAACCGAACTCACAGCACTTTTTACACAGAGCTACACCACAGCCTCAGAGGTCATACCAATATCAAAAACAGCATATGCTATGTATGCTAGATCTATATATAGTGAAAAATGCATGGCAGCTACCCCATGTCATTTTCTAGAATTATACAGAATTTTAAATAATCAAAGAACCATGAGAAACCTCACATACGGGGCTAGAGAGATGGCTCAGGGGTTAAGAGCACTGGCTGCTTTTCCAGAGGCCCTGAGTTCAATTCCCAGCAACCACATGGTGGCTCACAACCATCTGTCACCAGATCTAGTCCCTTCTTCTGGCCTACATGTAGACAGAACACTGTATACATAACAAATAAACCTTTAAAAAAAAAAGAAACCTCACATGCTAGAAGCAGAAGGAAACCTCAATGGTATAATAATACCCTGCTTGGTACAGCTTACTTTATGCAGTTTTAATACTGTATGTTTGCTTACACTGTTATTACATGTAAATGGCACCATGTGTGATTTATTTTTATTTTATTTTATTTTATTTTTTGGCTCTTCAAGACAGGGTTTCTCTGTATACTGTCCTGGCTGTCTTGGAACTAGTTCCATAGACCAGGCTGGCCTCAAACTCAGAGATCCACCTGTCTCTGCCTCCTGAGTACTGGGATTAGAGGCATGTACCACCACTGCCTGGCTTGTTTTAATATTCTTAGTTGAAAAGTACAAACAAAGTCTATCATCTCATGGATAATATTCTATATACCTGTACAATACAAGGAGGAAAATGCTAAACCAACATCTTCCAAATGTAGGAAAATAGGATAAACAATACTTTGTAGCAGAATACACAAGGTTGAAACTTTTTATTTTGAAGTCATTTTAGACTAATAAAGAAACTGCAAAAACAGTATATATCTGCCATCTAGCTGGTAAACATCATTTCTACCCCTATGTCTACTTCCTAAAACATGTAAAAATAAACTATGGACAGGAGTCCTTGATCCTTAAAACTTTCACCATGTATTTCCTTTCAAAAGAAAGAAGGAGGGGCTGGAGTGATGGCTCAGCAGTTAGAGCACTGGCTGTTCTTGCAGAGGACTGGGATTCACCCAACTGCCTATCACTCCAATTCCAGGGGATCTGATGCCCAGTTCTGGCTTCCATGGCTATCAGGCAGACATGTGATTCACATACATATATGTGAGTAAACATTCATATGCATAAATCCTTTTTAAATGATTTATTTTTATTTTCTGTGCATCACTTGTGTAAGGATGTGGGATCCCCTGGAACCGGAGTTACAGACAGTTGTGAGCTGCCATGTGGGTGCTGGGAATTCAACCCAGATCCCGTGGAAGGGCAATCATGCTCTTAACTGCTGAGTCATTTCTCCAGCCCCTATAAAATTAATCTTAAAGAATGTCTGAAACAGATATTGAAATATATTTTGAAGATAGTTTAAAAAAAATGGTAACATAGATAATTCCACAAGAAGAAACAGGACTGAGGAGATGGTAAAGTTGATAAAGTGCCTGCAATATGAGAATGGGGACTTGAGTTCAGATCCCCAGCAACCATGTAAAAGCTAATGTGACAATGTGTGGGTGTAATCTTGGAGAAGGAGAATCCTCAGAGCTTGATGGCAGGCCTGCCTAGCCAATCAGTGTTGAGACCCTGCCTCAAAACAAACAAACAAACAAATGAACAAAAAGGGGTCAGAAAAGGTGCTTGCTGCTAAGCTTGACAATCTGAGTTTGATCTCTGGAAATCACATGATAAAAAACTGACTTACACACACACACACACACACACACACACACACACACACGCACGCACACAGTGAACCTCAGCAGTAGGATGCTTGCCTATCATGCTTCAGGCCCTAGATTCCTCTCTCTCTAAGACAGACACACACACATACATGCACGCACACACTCAGTTAAACTCAGCAGTAGAATACTTGTCTATCATGCTTCAGGTCCTAGATTGCTCTCTCTCTTAACACACACACACACACACACTCTCAGTTAAACAAAGCACATTACTGATTACATAGTGTATGATGAATTTACACAGTTAAAAAGCATGCAAAATTACATATATCTCTACATAGTACAAGAACTAGGAAATAGAGTTCCAGTATTTTGCTAACAGCTTTTTATGTACCCCCTCAAGTGGTAAATGATTATAAAGCAAGGTACAACATTGTTTGGCTGCCAGACCTGAAGAATGCAGCTGTACAGGGGATGTCATCAGTGTTTTGGGAATGTCAAAGACTCAAGAGAGCTCAATTTCAAACTTTTTCTAAAGATCACATGAAGAATGTAATTGAAAGATTAGCCCAGTGTGGTGGCACAGGCCTTTAATCCCAGCACTTGGGAGTCAGAAGCAGCAGATCTCTGAGCTGGAGGTCAGCCTACATGATAGACTCAGACCCAAAAACACCAATAAATAAGAAAGGAGGAAAGATACAGTATGCCTACTTGCACTACCAAGATCAAGATAAATATTCAGAAAAAGAAAAGTTAAAATCCAGGTTGATCTTACATGGCTCCAGTTTTGGAGATAGGGCAAGTATATTCGGCCTTTGGCATCCACATGTTTTCCAACTGAGATTTCCATGTTTGCAGTTGGCTTCAAGAAGCAAATGGGTGGAGCAAAAGGGTGAGAATCCAAGATCCAGAAGCGAATGGGTATGTTGTATGTAATACCTAGTTGAGACAAATAAACAATCATGACACATACGTATGCATGTATAATGCAGCTAGTGGGATTTTAGCAATAGTAGCTAGGCATAGCAATAAGAGCTTATACTTTCACCTAATGATGCTAAAGCGGGAGACTTGCAGGTCTGAAGACAGTCTAGACATCAAGACCCTGCCTCAAAAGAAGAAGGGGGCTGATATGTAGTTCAGCAGTAGAGCATTTTGCCTGGGATGTGTGAGGCCTGGACTCAGTCCTAAGTACTGAAATAAAAGGAAAAGGGTGGCCAAATTTGTATGTAAAGGATGGATGGAAATCATATTTCCTCTACACGGGGATGAGGTTCTTACCACAGCACCAGCATAACACAGTGAAAATGACAATGGTCAACTTTTCAATTCAGTAGCATTTACAGGATGTGCTATACTGTCAGCTTGGGACACAAAATCTTTCCTATGTAGTTCTGCTCATCCCAAGCAGAGACACTGTAGCTCCTCTACTTTTGTATTTATTCTAAACTGAAATTATTTACCTATTCAGTCTGCTTTTCTACTCCAGTGTAAATTTCTACTGTGGATTCTCTCTCATTCATTTCTATATCCCCAGCATCAGGTATTATGCCTATTACACTAGCTGCTAAGTAAGTCTGTCATATAAATAAGAATGGCCAGATGAAAAAGAATAAATGAGCCAACTATAGTTCCGATACTTGCCCTTAAGCAGCTCAGTAATTTCAAGTGCTATGAACCATAAGCTGAGCTAGATACACAGAACTTAGAGGGGAAGGTAAGTCACCTTGTCTTAGTGACCCTGAAATTTTAGTGTATGTCACAGTAACTCCACAGAACTGAAACATGTAGATTCCTAAAATTTAGTGACAGTGGGGTACGGACAACATGCTCTGCATTTTCAACAACCCAATACACTCACATTCCAAAAGTGAGAGTGGGGTAGGGCATTCTGAACAACACCCCACCCACCCACCCCCACACATACACATACACACACAAAAAATGGTCCATCAATCTTTTAGAAACTAGTTTCTAAAAGTGCTCCATATTCTTTTCAGAAAAAGAAGCAGGCTTATGATAATAGGTCAAAGATAAGTCATTTGCCTGACATGTGAAGTTCTGGGTTCGAATGCCAGCAATGCAATCATGTTAGATCGGGACTGATCGAGACCACATGAAAATAAAAGAGACAGACCTCAACAGAGGCAACTGTCCTTTACCTAGAACAATAAAGGAAGGACAGCCATCTCTCTGTGGGAATGGAGACTGTGCTCACACACAGGGAGCTTGAAAAGGAAACTTCTAGGGTAGCAATTTTTATTGGTAAATTTGGTCTTTGTACTCTTAAGGCCAAGTAATGCCAGCGGATGTTGTCTCATATCCTGACCTTGTCACCTTGACACCTTGTCAGTCCTGCTCCTGGCTGCCTGCAAGCATTCTCGCAGGTGCTCTCAGAGTTTCTCAGCTTGTCTGAGGCTCTTCACAACAAAATAAACCACTTTGGAGGAAGAGAGAGATACGAAGGAACCTGACTGCATGCTCTTCCGATTTTAACCATATAGGTCATTCATTCCAAGAATCAGTGTCTGCCTTGGTTGCCACGAAGCCCGAAGCAAAATTCACTGTAAATGAAAACTAAACCTTGAGTACACATCTAAAAACACACTATCCTTAAGACTTATTCCTGTTTCACAGTCTAACCATGTCTTACACTGTACTGAGAACATTCCACTCAGAACCAGAATGCCTACTTCTACATATATTAGCTGTGTAACTTTACCCAAGCTACTTAACTTCTTTCTGTCCCAATCCTTTCCTCTATAAAATGAGAGTAGTATCTGTTATTTCATAGCACTGTTGGGATGAAATCCATGTACATCAAATGCCTATGGCAGTACATGGCATAGCAAACGCTATGAGTTGTACTTTTAAACCCACTTGGAAATAGGTCAGATGTAAACAGTTCTCTTCTTCACTGTGGTCTTTTTTCTCACTATGGAAACCCTCTTTCAACTGAAAGCTACTTTTATCATCTTGCTTCCACACAAAGCACAATACTCAGCCATGACTATGTATTTTATGAACATGTAAAGCACTTTGGCCATATCCCTCAGCATTCTGATGCAACCCAAATTTCTTTAAAGCTTTTTTTGCCATGCTAATATGCATCCAGGATGGCAATTAGCAGGTTGTAGACATGTTAAAACCTGGCAATCTACGGATTTGATATTGACCTTTCTCAGAAGCATCCTTTGTGGCTTTTACCTGAGTATTTACAATGTGGGCATACCCCTATCTGTTGTCCCATAGAAAACGCTGATTATAAAACCATGTGATCACAGACCATAAAGGGGACCAACAAGTACAAAGATACACCATCATATTCCTCCAGAAGGTAGTTACTAGCCAATGGTGACACACCTGCAGCTGGAATACTAGTCATGAAATGTGTAAAGTGCTGGGTTTGATTTCAGTACTGGAGTGGGGGGGTATTGCAAACAGTATCACTACTTTGATGAAGATTTGGAATAAGGGCCAATGGCTGTAGGAAAGGCAGACTACCCGTGAACTGCACAGTACTGACAATATTAAGACAACCCAGTCCTGGGGCTGTGGTGTGGAATGTGGCATAGTGGTAGAGGGCCTCCACTATGTGAGATGTTTAGGGTCTGAAAACCAGTTTTGTGAGTGGCTACCACAAAACCTGGAAACTGATCATTAAAATGATAAAGCTGAAATCAGCAGAGTATTAAGAATTATCCTCTTGTCCGGCAGTGTTGACACACACCTTTAATCCCAGCACTCAGGAAGCAGAGGCAGGTGGATCTCTGTGAGTTCGAGACCAGCCTGGTCTATAGAGCAAGTTCCAAGACAGGTTCCAAAGCAATACAGAGAAACCCTGTCTCAAAAAACCAAAACAACAACAAAAATTATCCTCTTGACTCCAAACAAATCACCTAAGCTACCTGAACCAGTTTCCTTCCCCTTCCTTCCCTGTCTTGTCTTTCCTCATTCCCTTCCCTTTCTTTTTAAGATCTAACCAAGGAGAGCAGAGAAAACAGCTCACAGTGAGTGAAGTTCCGACAGCCAGAAAACAGGCTGAGACCCTGGCAGGAGAGAAGCATGGAAAGCAGAGACAGCTGAGCTCTGCCTGTCCTGTCCCCAACTCTGCAGCCTCTGCAGAGCCTGGCCATGGCTTTCATCTCCAGTCACAGGCAGAAAAAAGCCTCCACACACTTATGGAAGCTCATCACTGGCTGGGAGACAGGAAATATGCAGGCTTGCCATGGTCAAGGAATTCACATAGGGAAATGTCTGATATTTAAAAAAGTCTTCCAAAATCCCACTGTCAATGCTCAACTCTTTCCTTAGAGATTTCCCTTCCTATTCTCTTCTCAGTGTACCAACTCCTTCTAGCCAGTTCATTTATTCCTATGCCTATCAGTCAGTAATCAAGTGAACTAAACCAGGAGAAACACTCCCTGAGAATTTCTAGTATTAGCTATTGTGTATTAGTCACTGCAGGTGGTACTCCTTCCGGGCAGATCTACACCCTGAATGAACGACATTTCGTTTTGTTGGAGCTGGGGTCTTCCACTCTCCTGTCTCAGCACTCTAGGTGGAGGGTCACAAATGCACCATTTCCCACAGAGCAAGATCAAACGTTGAATGGTGGAACTGTGGGCTCTGCCACAGGGAGCTATTTTGAAAAAGCAGCTTTGCTGTCATGCTCTCTTCCTGTCCTCAGACCTTGCCAGCCTGGTGGACACTATTCGACAAGTATTTGGTAAACAGAGCAACATTAACTAGGCCTTCCCGACAGACCTGGGGCATATAAAAACAGTGGTGTGCATCAAGGAATAAAGAAGCTCCCACAGAGAAGTCCCACCGTCTCTCAGCTCCTGTCCTTACCCTGGTACATCACAGGAATAGTCCCAGTGAAATTCAGCAGGTCTTTTTGGGAAGTATCTTTGAAAACTAGAAGAAAGAAAAAGTTCCAAAATGTCAGTGAGGAATACAGAGAACAGTAATCAAAGGGAGTGACTGCACACACAGAAATGCCTAAATAAATACAGAATTTTAAGACAAAGAAATAGAAGGATGTGAAACTTTGACACTGAAACCCAAGTTTGAAGCCCACCTTCCCCTAAGAGGCATAGAACTTGCCAGGCATGGTGACCTACACTTGAGGAGGCATGACTGCCATGAACTCAAAGCCAGCTTATATTGTATGAGTACCAGGTCAGCCAGGGGTACATGTCGATCCTGTCTCAAAACCACAAAAGGGCTGGGGTGTAGCTCAGTTGGTAGAATATTTGGCTAGTATGCATGAAACCCTGGCTCCTACCTCCACCACCAAAGAAAACAGGGAGTGGAGGTGCCTGCCTGTAATCCCAACACTCAGGAGATAGAGGATGGGGATCAGAAGCCTAAGTTTATGCCTGGCGACATGGCAAGTTCTGAGATAACAGAGAGAAGAAACAATCTGGAAGCTCTGTAGACCAAATAATCAGTAACGCAAATAATGCAGCAAGGACCAGAGGACGCTGCTCGTACCGTAGGTGTCCATGGAGTATCTGAAGTGCGGGAAATGCGTGTTCACATTCTTCAGCTCCTCCACAGTCAGGTCCCTGAACTTGTACTGAAATGAGAAGAGTTAGCACGGGATGAGAACAGACGGATGCCTGCCGCCTGTCGGATGCCAGGCCCTGAGCAGGACTCGACCGCTACAGTACCAGACACATTACTAACCTGACACAGGCTGCTCATCCCCCTGTCTCAGCCACCCAGATGATAGGATTACAGGTGTGCATCACTAAGTCTTTCTGATTTACTCTTTGAAACCATGGTGCTAAGGAGTAGAGTTTGCAACTGCTCTGTTTTATAAAAAAACAAACCTGAGAATCGATGCAATTTGCTAAGTCTAAGCAGTAAATCCCAAGCTCAACCCCAAGACCTATGCCGTGATTAGTTCGATCTAAATGCCTCTAAGTACCCCCCTGAAAGCCTGAGAGGTAGCACAGGATGAACCACTCATCACTATTGAACAGGCACTTGAAAAAAGAATTACATTTTCATTTTTAATGTAGTTCTATATTCATGGGTGGACATGTGGCGGGCAGAGGAGAACTTTCGGGAGCTGGTTTTTTCCTGTGACCATTTGGAACCAAATTCAAGGTTGTCATGCTCATGGCTGGTGTCTGACCACCCTGTGGGTCCTTGACTCTCTTCTGACTGCCTCCTTCATCAGGAACACCTTGACTTTCCCTCGCATCTCTAGTCCTGTATCCTAGGCTTCTAGGGGAAAATAAATACCAGCAAGTTTGCTCCAAGCAGGAGAACTGCCTGTTCCTGCCTGTCTTTGTAGCCCTGCAGACAACATCATGTAACTTCTTTCAACTTACTTTCTTCCCTGCCAAGAGCAATAATACCCACTCCCTAGACTTGCAGCGAGGATTAAATGAAAGGAGGAAAACTATCGATATATTGGAAATAGAATAAAGATACTTGGAAATAACTTCAGAAAGGTATAAAAGTGATGTTGAAAACAAAAACACTGGAGGGGCTGGAGAGATGGCTCAGAGATTAGAGCATTGGCTGTTCTTCCAGAGGACCTGAGTTCAATTCCCAGCAACCACATGACCTGTGGGCATACAGGCAGATGCTGCAAACATAAGTAAATAAAATCTAGGGAAAAAATGTAAAAAAAGATAAAAGAAAACGTAACACTGGAAAGAAATAAAATGGAAGCCTGTTTTAAATGGGAAGGTATCCTGTGTTTGTGGATCTGAAAACATCAAAGTATTTCCCAAAAGAGTCAGCAAAATCCCTTAGTGAAACTTCAGCTGAGCTTTTTGTTTCTTCGCTTGTTTTTTGTTGTTGTTATTGTTCATTTGGGTGTTTTGTTTTTGGGGGGGGGTTGGCTTAGTTTGGTTTTTGTTTTGTTTTGTTGAGACAGCCCTGGCTGTCCTGAAACTCACTCTGTAGACCAAGCTGGCCTCAAACTCACAGAGATCCACCTGCCTCTGCCTCCCAAGTGCTGGGATTAAAGGCGTGTGCCACCAACGCCCAGCAAATGGTACTCTTCTTCCTTTAGGCCAGACATGGCGTCTCAAGCCAGAAATCCCAGCGCTCAGGGCTGAGCCAGCAGCGTTGCCTTGAGTTGGAGGACATAGCTTTGACTACAATGCAAGACAAACAAACGCAATCAGCCTACACCTGTGACTGTAAACTAAACTATCTAAATGGACTGCGTCCATGATTTCAATCTTGGAGCTCTTAAAACTCTCACAGGTGCGCAGGGCGGTGGTGGCACATGCCTTTAGTCGCAGCACTCGGGAGGCTGAGGCAGGCGGATCTCTGTGAGTTCCAGACCAGCATGGTCTACAAAAGCTACTGGAATTCCAGGACAGCCTCCAAAGTCACAAAGAAACCCTGACTCGAGAAGACAAAACAAAACAACAACAAAATAACCTCTTACAGGTGTAAAAACTGTCCCCAAACAGAGAGATTACAAGAAAACCAGCTCGACTACTGACAAAATGACTTTTGACCCAGAGGGCACCTGCCTGCCTGCTCGTGGGCGGGAACCAGGCATGCTGAGCATCCGGCCCCAGGGAAGCAGGTGAGACCTGAGCGAGGAAGAGCTCCCCACCTTCCTACAGTCAGCCCGTCTGGGCCCGCACCCGCACCCGGGTCTGCGGAGGTCTTTCATCGCGAGCAGCAACTGGGGTCCCGGCCCGAGGGAGAGGCAGACGGAAAAAAAGCAGTGTACAGTCAGCCACCAGGGCGCGCAGGAGGCGGCTCTGCGGGGGCGTCGCTTCCACGACGGACAACCGGGACTTCTCAAAGAAGGGAAAGTCGCTGGCAGGGGGATGACTCACTCCAGGAGGGGAGGCGAGGGGCCGCCAGCCCGGGACCCCAGCACCGGAAAGCCGAGGCAGGACGGACTGCCGCAACTGCCCGGCCAGCCTGGGCTGCGCAATGACTCGATAGGTCAAGGCAATCAAACAACTTTGGGGGGGGAAACAAAAGGATACTGGGGGAGAGTGGGCAGTAGAGGACGGGTGTGGGCCGGGGCAGAGTGGGGTGGCGAGAACGCAGGGGGCCCGCCCGTCCCGTCCCGCACCTTGCCCAGCAGCCGCCGCACGCCCTCACAGTCGAACTCCATGGTCGGCAGAGCTGCCGTCCTCCTCCGCAGTCGCCGCGCCCACTCGCGAACCCGCTGCGGACGGAGGCCGCCCAGGCCCAAACGTCCTCAGAGGACGGTCCCCCGCCCCTCCAGCGGGAGGACGCCCCGTAGGTTGCACGCCGAGGCGGGGCCCAGAGCCGGACGTGGACAGGAACCCGGAACCCAGGCGACCGCCACGCCCCTTCCCGCCCTGCTCCTTCCAAGTCAGCCGACTCGGCCGAGTTCGTGAGCGAGAGCCGGTGACCGAAAGCAACCCGGAGCTCCGGGGACCGCAGCACCCTGCGAAGCGGGGAAAAAGGCACCTGTGCTAGCTCAGGGAAACTAGCTAGCCAGGGAGATCCTAGGAGCAAACAGGTGAAAGCAAGCATGCGAATTTCCGGGAAGACTTGATTTCAGCCCAGAATGCGAGCGACCGGAACACGGACGGACGATCAAAGCCAAAAACTGTAGTTGGATTTGGATGTTCAAAATCAAAGTCTGGGAGTAGACAGGGAGAAATCTAGGAGTCTTGTCAGATAACTGAGCTAGTGAGGCAGACTGGTTAACTTCTACGAAGAGTCAAGAATTTCGACACGGGTCGACACGGGCCTAGAGAGAAGGTTCAAGCAGTTATAAGAGCCCCTTGCTGCTCCTTCAGAGGTCATGAATTCCATTCTCAGCACCCACGTGACAACAGTCTGTGACTCCAGTTGCAGATGGTCTCACGCCCTCTTCTAGCCTTCACGGGCACTGCGTGGGCGTGGTGGGCTTACAGGCACATAAAGTAAAAATAAATTAAAAAAATAATTTTAACATGACTGACCAAAACCCAACTGCACAGAAGTTAGATTTTCTTTTCTGAAAGTGTCACAAACAAGATTATTAAAATGATTAGTAAGCTATGCTTAGGATCAAAATTTGTCAACCTTGTGTTGACTAATGTGTAGCAAAATGGTTTTCATTTTTGCCTACACATTACATCTCACAAATCACTTTATAATATCACTTACCATAGAAGAATTCTATGATGAAATAAACACACCACCACATTTAAAAATCAATGTTATACGCCGTCTGTCCTCAAGCCGCTTAAGATTTTAATTGTGCCTTGTATTTCTGCTTAATACACTGTTTTTTTTTTTTTTTTTCATTCTGACTTCTGAAAGTCCTTTGTGCAGCAGGAGTCAAGATCCTGGGGACAAAGTTCCTCTCCAGCCTCACAGCTAGTAAAATCCACCTTTCTAGAAATGAGGCTGGAGAGATGGCTCAGTAGTTACATCAATTGTAACTCTGACTCCATCTCTGGCCTCCCAGGGCACCTGCCCTCACATAGGCGCGGGCGCGCGCGCACACACACACACACACACACACACACACACACACACACACACACACACACACACACACAAAGGCTTGGTTTTTGCTGCTCTTGCAGACACGCACGTGGCAGCTCACGATGGCATGCGATTTCAGTTCCAGGGGATCTGATGCCGTCTTCCATCCTCAAACACCAGGTGCTCTCATGGTCCATATGAAAGCGGCTGAAACACTCATAAAATAAAATACAAAACCTTTATAAAAAAATAAACAAATAGGGGAACTGTGAGGAACTTGTTGACACAAAATTGTTTGTACTTCTTGTGTATAGCATGATGTTTTGAAACATTTACACATTGTGGAACAGCTACAATGAGCCCATCTAACATGAGAGGTGAAGACTCAGTCAACCAGGAACTCGAGAGATAGGCTGGGAAAGTTGTTTGTTTTGGATGCTGTGGATGGAAATCAGGCCCCTAGCTCTGCCGCTGACCTCTGCTTCTAGTTCCCAGCCAGGCAGCCTGTTGCAGCCACCCTTCCAGGCAGGCCTCAAAGTCAGGATACTCACTATGGGCTTTCTAAAGATACTTCTCAGGACTCTGGCTTGAGGAGACTTTCCTACCAGAGGCTGAAACATAGCTGCATTTTAAAAAGAACTAGGTTTACTGCTCCTTACAGTGAGGGAGCAGGTTTGTGAGGGACATTGGTACAGCTCAGGGAGATGGTGTGTTAAGTGTTCGAATTCTGTGAAAGGATTTGGACACTTAGCAGAAGCTGTAAGGAAAAGAGGCTCACTCTGGACTGCGTGCGTGGGGTGCAGAGACATTCAGTGAGTAATTTACCAATGAAGATCTTGTGTAAGATGGGTCCACTTGGATGACGAGAAGGCTTTGACTGGCAAAGCAGCAGAGGTAGTGTGGTTTAGCAGAGAGGAGGGTGTTTGTATTTCATTGTTTTCATCTCTGTTTAGACAAAACTATCAAAATGACCCAGTTGTGTCTCAGAGCCACAGGTCAAATTCTGTCAATACTGAGCTTGGCTATATAATAAACAGCTTGGGGTGTGTGTGTGTGTGTGTGTGTGTGTGTGTGTGTGTTGTATCAAGCTACATATATATCATATATGTCAGGAATTGCTGTTTTCTTTCTCAGGCCATGAATAAGAAAGAGAAGCCACTGGAAGACGGTTAAGAAGAAAAGAGTGATATGATCTAATTGAGGTTTCTTTTTTTTTTAAAGGTTTATTTATTTGTTATGTATACAGTGTTCTGTCTGCATGTATCTGTAGGCCAGAAGAGGGCACCAGATATCATTCAAGGTGGTTGTGAGCCACCATGTGGTTGCTGGGAATTGAACTCAGGACCTTTGGAAGAGCAGCCAGTGCTCTTAACCTCTGAGCTATCTCTCCAGTCCCAGAGATTTTTTTTAATGTATTTATTTTGGGGCAGATGGCTAAGTGATTAAGAGCACTGCCTGTTCTTCCAAAGGACCTGGCTTCAATTCCTAGCACCCACATGATGGCTCACAACAGTCTGTTAACTCCAGTTCTAGGGGGATCCAATGCTTCTGGCCTCTGTGGGTACCAGAAATTAACGAAAGTTGTGAACAGACATACATGTAGGCAAAATTCTCATATTGATACAAATAAAATAGAAAGATAATTTTTGTGTGTGTATATGTGCTTGTGCAAGTTTATATGCATCATATGAGTTCAAGGCAGAGGGCATCAACTCTCCTGGAATTGGAGTTACAAGCAAGTGAGAACCACTTGAATGTTAGGAATCAAACCCTTTCTTCTGGAACAGCAGCCAGTGTTCTTTACTGCTGAGCCATTGCTTGACCACCAGTAATCTGATATACTTTTGACCCCATAATTCCGCTTTGAAGTCTATCTTACAAGCCAGATACGGTGGCACATGCCTACACTTGGGAGGCAGAGGCAGGCCGATCTCTGTGAGTTCCAAGTCAGCCACAGATACACATGAGACCCTGTTTTGGGGGGATAGGGGGGTGTCTGTCTTACAGAAACATAAGTACTCAAGATTGGAGGCTGGGGAGAGTCCTCTCAGTTCAGTGCTGGCTGCACAAGCATTAATGACCTGAGTTCATTCCTTAGAACCCACTGAAAACAACCTGGCTTGATGGGTGCCCTTGGGCCCTTGGCGCTTTGCTAACCAGCCAGTCTAGACCAATCAGCAAGTTCCAGGAACTCAGTGAGAGACTGTCTCAGAAACAAGAAGGTGGATTTCCAGCACTCACATGGTATCTCCCCACCATCTGTAACTCCAGTTCCATGGATCAGATGCCCTCTTCTGGCCTCCACGGGCACTTCATGTAAGGGGTGCACAGACAAACACACAGGCAAAACACCCACACATATAAAACAAAATAAAGAAAACTTAGAAATTATCTGGAGACCGGGCATTGGTGGCACACGCCTTTAATCCCAGCACTCGGGAGGCAGAGGCAGGTGGATCTCTGTGAGTTCGAGGCCAGCCTGGTCTACAGAGTGAGTTCCAGGACAGCCTCCAAAACAATGCAGAGAAACCCTGTCTCAAAACACCAAAAAAAAATTATCTGGAGAAATATGAAAGACATAATAATAAAGGTGGTGGCACACACCTTTAATCCCAGCACTGGGGAGGCAGAGGCAGGTGGATCTCTGTGAGTTCAAGGACAGCCTGATCTATAAAGCAAGTTCCAGGATAGCAAGGGCTACACCACAGAAACCCTGTCTTGAGAAACAAACAAATGAAGGAGGGGGAGGAGGAGGAGGAGGAAAAAACTAGACATGGTAATGCACTCCTCTAACCCCAGAACTCGGAAGGCAGAGGCAAAAGTTCCAGGGCAGCCAAGGCTACACAGAACTTGCCTAAAAAACAAACAAACAAAAACCTGTAAGTTTTGTTGTTTACTTGTTTTGGAGCTCTGAATGGAAGAGAATTTACTAAGTAGCCATGCTGGTCTTAAACTCACAGCAATTATTCTGCCTTAACCTCCCCAGTGCTGGGATTACACGGCACCACATAAGGCTCATTTTAATGACTTGAGTGTATTGTTTTGGGGAAAAGCAAGTTTCTCGGTCATTGGTGAAGTGCGATCCCCTTTAGCAAAACTACACAGGGAGAAGACCTGTGTCTTCCTGCAGACGTGGAGTGGCATGTACGTAGAACTAGGGCACAGCGTGCATGTGGAAGTCAGACATGACAAAACATGTTGCTGTCCTTGCCCAAAAATGAGATCTTTGATGATGTCTGAATGAGCGTCTGAATTCCAAACTAGGGGCTAGATCAGAATGAAACACATGGAAACAGGTGTAAACTGTAAAGAAGGGATTTGGGTGTAGACCACTCATCTAGGAAGTTTGAACATAAAAAGAAATTGATCACAGGACAGCTGGGAAGAGAACCATTGTGTCAACTGGAGGCTTTTTTTTTTTTTTTTTGAGAAAAGGCCAGGGATTCCTCTGATTTTTTTGTTTTTGTTTTTCGAGACAGGGTTTCTCTGTGGCTTTGGAGGCTGTCCAGGAACTAGCTCTTGTAGACCAGGCTGGCCTCAAACTCACAGAGATCCGCCTGCCTCTGCCTCCCGAGTGCTGGGATTAAAGGCGTGCGCCACCACCTGGTGATTTCTCTGGCTTTTGGTAACCTAGAAAAGAGGACCAGTGGAGAACTGACCATGGGTGTTGAAGAATGCAAGTACCCAGCGATTTAAGGGAGTATCCCTCCTCTTAAAGGGACTCGTCTTAAAGACAGGAAGAGAGGACCTGTGGGGATAAAAATAGAAACAGGTGGGAGAAACGGAATATGAGTTCAGGGACAGTGCTGGCTATATAGCAAGTTTGAGGCCAGCCCGGAATACATGAGGCCCTGTCTCAAAATAAAGTAAAATAAAACAAAATAGATGGATCATTTCCCTAGACTTTGGATTGTTTCATTGGCAGTTGTCATAGTGGCAAGCCTTTTCAAACCCGTGTAAGTCATTTGGGCTTTCTGAGCTTTGATTTTTCTCACTAACGAAGAGGGGTTGAAACGATTAGACCTACCTTGTGGCAGTGCTAGACAGTAATGTACACCAATTTACGCGGCTGAGGTACTGTCTGGGGGAAGTATTTATGGCATGTTGAATCCAAGCCACATGACCAGTGATGTCACAATGCCTTCCCAGACTCCAGCTTCTTCTTTAGAGAGTCTCTTGGATCCTTTGGAACCAAGGAATGGAACTAATATGCGACACGTCTGTCAACTGAAGGTTTCATGAGTTCGCTCCTTTGTCAAGATCTTGGCGAACAGTCTCTCACCGTGTGATTGTAGCTCAGAAATTATTTTTCTTTTGGTGATGATCGTGCTGGGCTGGATGCTTTTTGTAGGCTTTGCATCCTACATGGGTGCATTTCCAGAGGCGATGGTAAGCACTAGCCTTGAATCCCTGCTACCTCCTGGCTCAGCCTCACGCTCCCATCTGGGATTTGTGACTAACCAGGAAAAGGTAGTTTGAGGGTTTTTACCAGCTGGAAGCCAGGATATGACAGTATCTTCTCATCTCATTGGGCATCCTCCTTTGGAGGGTTTAATATCCTCTCTGCCTGCTTGGGTAATGTCACGTGTATCCAGGCTTTGTGGCATTTTTTACAGTTTTTTTTTTTAACAGCATTTTACAGCTCTGCTGGTCACAGTGCCTCACTTCTGAGTTTTGAGTCAAGGAGATGAGGAGTTTGTGTTGGGGACATTGATTTGGGGGGCATTCTTTGAGCAGTCCCTCTAGTCACTACCTAGGAACACTGACTTACCATGGGGTCAGTGAGTGGGGCCATGTCTACCTCTAATTTTCTTTCTGACTCAGCCTCCAACTCTAAAGTGGAAAGAGAGGTTGCCTGTATGGGAGAACAAGGCACGACGAAGGAGCCAGGCTTTGGAGGAGGAGCTGCTGCTACTGTGAGTGGGTGGTCAGGTCTGTCGGGCTGGGTCCCCGTCCACAGAACGCTCCAACGCTCTGCAGTCTCCGGGGACATTTTATCCTTCTGGGAACCAGGCAATCCGTGGAGGCGGAACAGTGCGAGATGTGTGTTAGGGGAGAGGGCTGGGGTGCTGCTGGGAAAGCAGGCTGAGAATCAGTTGCCTGTCAACAACCAGGCCCTCACGGGGTTCCTTCTGAACCAAATCCACGGATTATTCCATTCTTTCACAAACACTGTTTTATATTAGCATGTTATTTTATAAAATATTTTATTATACACACATATGTAAGTTATATTAAAAGGGTCTATATATCCATGTGTATAGCAGACTTTGATCGCAGTACCCTTCCTCTTTACCCTCTATTTTCCTCCCTCATCCCTTCCTAAATAGAACCTTTTCTTTTTCTCTTCCTTTTTTGAGACAAGGACTCACTATGTGGCCCTAGCTGCCCTGGAGCCCACTTGCAGATCAGGCTAGCCTCAAACTGAAACGCAGAGATCCACCTGCGTCTGCCTCCTAAGTGTTAGGAGGTCATGTGGTATCATACAAGGCTCAGATTGAAATGACTAAGGCAACGCCATCTTATCATAACTTTATTTTGTGCCTGTTTAGACATTTCTCAGCCTTCTACCCCAGAACAGCCATATCTGATGTATCTGGCAACACTTTTGTGTGAGCCTGACAGCAGTCCAAACATATTAACCAGAATGATTAATGGTTGTACAAACTAAAGCATAAAACTGAAATAACTAAAAGGAAGTATAAGTTAAAGATAAGGTCATGAGGTATCTTGAAAACATGCTGAGTTTTGCAAGAGAACAGATGTTACTGGGCCAACCCCAAATCCTTCACTGATGTGACCACCCCCAACTAATGTAATGTGGCTTTTGTCTTTAGAAGCGCTGGGCACTGGAGCTGGGTATTAAAGGACATTTTGAGGCATAAGCCCACTCTTGGTATGGCCTTAATAAAAAGATGCATATGCATTTAATCGGCTTGTCAGCATGGTCATCAATAACTACCTCACATGAATTTCAAGATGAGCACTTGTAATGCCCCATCTGGAGATTGGTGAGACTAGAATTGACATAAACTTGAGATCAATACATAAGTTTGCAACTTACTGTGGGAACTTGAGAGGTTTAAATCCTCTGAAGGTCACTTTCATCAGTGGTAAAATGGGAAATATTTCCAACCATTTACTCTTTTTGTGAATATCACATTTGGGAATCCATATAAGGTGTTTAATGCAAAGCTTGAATATTAGTAAACTACAAGTTTAACTAAGTGAAATGTAAACCCATCAGCAAGCTTTGATTGGTGACAGGGGCCTTGGGTACACACAACACCACACAACCATCTTATTGTGTGTGTGTGTGTGTGCGTGCACGTGTGAGCGCGCACACGTATTCTGGAGCGCAAGCCAGACCTCTGAACATCTCACACTCCCCCCATTGAAAACAGAGGGTGATACCCTTTCAGCAAACCCTCTCCTGGGCTTCCGGCAGTCCACCCATGCCATCCAGACCTGTTTTTCAGAGCAGTTGCCATTGCCATTATTAGAGAAAGTTTACTCTTGGTAGTCTTTTCTTTTTTTTTTTTTCCTGAGACAGAGTTTTTCTGTGTAACCCTGACTATCCTAGAACTCACTTTGAATATGAGGCTGCCCTCAAACTCACAGAGATCCACCTGCCTCTGCCTCCTACTGGGATTAAAGTCATGCACCACCACCACCTGGGTTCTCTTGGTACTCTTAATTTGCTGACTCAAGAGCAGAGAGATTTGGGAGAAACTACTGCAGAAGCAGGGATTGACAGCCGCAGCCCCAGGTATAGTAAGGAAATGAGAGCAGGCTTTTGGTTCTCTTTCAGTCTCGCTGGTCCAAAGCTGTCACATTGTGTGGGTGTGGGAGAAGTGACACTTGTTTAGCATTGCCACAGAATGTCAGCCACTGAAATTATATTGTGCTCGTTTCCCCAGCTGTGAGAGAGCGTCATGAGTAGCCAGTGTCTTCCTTCTGGTCCTTTCCCAGGGAGGTTCTAGGAGGCTTAGCCAGTATGAGTGAGGGCATGATTGCCATTTTACAAAGTGCAAGATTTCCTCTTTAGGTAATTTAATAGCCTAAAGTTGTTGTCCATCGAGTTCCGTTAATCCCCCGATAAACGCAGGTGGCTTGGATGTGTTATTCACAAGTTTTTTTCTGCCCTTGATTAGTTTAGGCCAATACATCTTATCATGTAATGGCTTATTAAGGTTCTAAACAGGTGTGAGAGTCCCCCCTTTTGAGGTTTCTCTCATCCAAACACACCTATGTCCTGGCCAACTCATTGGTGCTCTCACCATGAGGCCTAGTGTCACAGGAACTGATGTCATAATTGTCTGAGTTTTGCCTCCCAAAATGGCCATTTTAGTTTAGACTAGACCACAAAGTTCACCAGTCAGGGACTGCCATGCTGGGCCACCCACCATCTGGTCTGGAATGAAGCCAGACAGATTCCCAGGACTCTGCGAATAGAACCAGGACTTCCAATAACCACTCCCCACCACCGCAGCCAAGAAGGCCCACAATGATTGTTGTCTTATGGATGGTTCTCATTGCAGGAACGATGTGGAAGGGATATAAATATCCCCCAGGAGGGGTAAGTGTAATTTTTGACTTCCTTACTGCCAAAGAGTCCCCAAACTAACCCAGGAAACATGAACATCTAACCCTAGTAACTTGTGTTCTCCTTAGTATTTGAGGAAAAGTTCCCATAGCCTACCTGCTTCTACTGTTAGCTACTCAGAACTGGGAGCGTTTCAGGTTTCTTTCACGTACTTTTAAAGACCAGATGTCTCACTCAGCCTAGCATGGTCTTGAGCTAGCTACGCAACTACGGTTGCTTTGGTTCTCCTGCCTCCACTTCCTGACTGGTGAGATTATATGTGGCAGTGCAGACCAGACCCAGGGACCTCCTGCAAGCTAGGCATCTACCATGTGAACTACACCACAGCATCTCATGTGTTTTCTTACACATATGTTATTTTTGTAAAGACTGGGTCACAGCTTATCTCTGTAATGCTGACAAGACATTTAAAAATGTTTAGCTTCCAATAGTATTTCTTACATCAGTCCACTTCTGTGAACCAACCCAAAGTGGGGTTCCGGTAGCAGGAATCTCTGCACTGTTAGTCCCACAGTGCTGAGCACTTCCTGGTGGCGAGCATCAGAGGTTTTGGGTAACAGGATCAGACAGGCTCCTCCTTCCCTGGGCAACTGCCTCAGCCCTACACCCTAGCAATGCTAGAGCCTACTGACATGTGTTTTTTTTTCCTTCCCAGACCCCTTTGGAAGTAAGCAAAGATGACCCTGGTGAAGTCATGCAGCTGTGAAGACCACCCAACTGCACAGTTCCTGTTGTAGATTTCACATAAAGTAATCGCACATTATTTTGTCATATTCTGTGTAGTTACCACACTTCTTAAGATGAACAGACAAAGACACTATTCTCCTAACAGAGACAAAGGGTGAATTGGTTGGTGGGAGTGAGTGGGTGACGAACAGGTCCTATTTGTCGAAGCCTCTAAGGTAGAGACAACTCTTAAATTGTCCCCTGTTGGGGAATCATAAGTAATGATTTTTAGACCCAATTCTCAAATAATATACTCCAAAGCCGGAATCCAAATTTAAATGGAGGAGAGATGTTAAAAGTGTTTTTTTGTTTTTGTTTTTTTTCAAGACAGGGCTTCTCTGTGTGTCCTAGAACTTGCTTTGTAAACCGGGCTGGCCTCGAACTCACTGAAATAATCCACCTGCCTCTGCCTCCCAGGTGCTGGGATTAAAGGCATGTGCCACCACCTCAGATCCATAAAGTAGTATTTTGATCCTCATCCAAACCTGCTGAAGCTGGGTATTGCCTCATTTTGAAGCGACCTAAGAGAAGCTAAGCGGCTCAGGGGTCTTGCCAGCTCAGACCTAGACACAGTAGAGACGCAGAGGCACGCTTTCTCCAGGACACCTATGCCTTAAATGTTAAGGCAGTGATCATGCTGGCTAAGTGTCTCCCTCACCTGAAAAGCAGAGTTGTACAATGATCTTTTTAAGAGGTTTATTTTTATCATTTTTAATTACAGGTATATGTGTAGGTCTACGCATTGCAATGCAAGGGCCCTCAGAGGCCAGAGGCCTCTGATCCCCCTGGAGTTTGTTATAGGTGGTTGTGAGCTGCCTAACGTGGGTGCAGGGAATGGACTTAGGTCCTCTATGGGAGCTCTTGGGTTGTTTGTGCTCTTAACCTGAGCCATCCCTCCAGACCTTTGAAGATCCTTTTAAAGACAACATATGTAGAAACACACCTAACTTCAGCTCTCAGTATGATGAAGTGAATTTGAGTCCAGGGATGGGAGCCTAAGCATAAGATAAGCAGTTAATAAATCCGGAATCTGAGCTCTGGGACCTTACACCCTCTAAAATGAGATGGGTGAGGTGGTGGGGAGGTAAGGAGGGGAAAGTATTTTGGGGACAGATGGTTCCACTGTTCGAGAGAACCGAAGTGCCCAGCAAAGCAGACCTGTGTTTTACACAGAAAACAACTTTATTTGGTACTCTTACCATTTGTTAAGAGGCTCTGCACCAAGAGTTATGCTGTGTTTGTGCTCACGTGTATGGAGACCAAAGGTCAGTGTCTGCTGTCTCCTAACATCCTTCACCTTCTTTTTTGAGACACTCTCCCACTGAACCTGGAGCTTGCCATGGAATCCATCCATCTTTGCACTGCCAAGTGCTGGAGTTACAGCTGTATGTCCCCATGCCTCCCTTTTACGTGGGGCTGCCAGCTCCGAACTCAAAAGACTCACTTGTTGGCAAGCGCTTTACATATCATTCCATCACCCTAGCCCCTAAGATTACCCTTCCCATGGGAAGGAAAACGAATCCAAGATCCACAAATCAGTTCTTAGTGGCTTAGGACTCTATCAGTACTTCTTATATGACCTAGACTCAGCATGTTGTAGTGGGTCAAGTTATCTACATTCTCTGTATGCATGCATGCGTCCCCTAGCCTCATGAACATTCCTAAGGGCTCATTTTTCCACTATCACCCAACACTGACCCTGTGAGTGCACATACCAAGGAAGGCCACAAGGCACTGGGTGTCCTTTAACACTGTGTCTATGCCCTCCGGGCCAAGTCTCTTCCGGAACTGGGGGCTTTTGTTTTCTAGGTTGGGTTGGAAGCCAGTATGCCCCAATAATCCTGTCTCTGCCACTCTTGGAGCTGGGCTTACAAGGGGGTGTAGGGTGCCCGTTTTGTTGTGTGCGTTACATGTTAGCCCCATGTTCTTGGTGGTACCCTGAGTACTCTAGCCACTGAGCCATTTCTCCAGCTCCTCAAGCTTATTTGTTATAGGGGATTTGAACCTGATATTCTGACAAGAGGAAGTACATACCAGCTCCGCTGTTTGTCTTTCATCCCAATAAACCTTCAAAACCCTGAGCCACAAAGTTAGATTTCATTGCTCTAACCACTTTCAGTTATTATTTTATGTTGAGTGTTTTGCCTGCATGCATGGTACCAGTGGAGATAAGGACAGGTGTCAGATGCCCTGGAACTGGCATCATGGTTGGCTACCATGTAGGTGCTGGAAAATGGACCCGAGTCCTTTGCAAGAGCAACAAGCGCTCTGAACCACTGAGCTACCTCTCCAGCACCCACTTGAGTTTTTTTAAACTTGATGTCTGAGAACACAATGGCACTCTAGCAGTAGCCTCGACTGTCTTAAGTATATAAAGGACAAGTTTGACTTCTGACCCTAACAAGTCTACAGAGGTTTCTAGCTAGCACAGGGTTCCAGGTGATAAGGAGTAGCTTCAAGTTTTGATCAATAAATGAAAACCAGTAAAAATATCAATAAAATATTTTAATGCCTACAATTTCTTGTATACATAAATTGCAAAACATTCACCTGTATTTGCAAAAGTATATTCTTCTGCAGGTCAACAGCACCAGAAAACAAGCTAAGCTATGTCAAAATTTTCTTCTTTTACATTTGATTTGTCCATTATGTAAAAGACATCGTGGGTTTAATAACTCCAAAGAAATTTATATTCCACTCTTAATCATACACTAAACACCTGAATATGTATTTCATCACATCCACTCACAAAATAAATAGTCTACTCAGCACACTGAAAATAAAACAACCAGTCTCTCTTCATATATTTATTCTCTTTCCAAAAATGTTTTGGTCTCCTGCTATATCTCAGAAATGTACTACTAGCTGCTTTTAAGTTATAAAATACAAAATAATTTATTTCTTGGAGAAAATCTGGGGGGGGTTACCATTACAAAAATGAAATTCAAGTTCCCTTAGACTTTCTGTTAACAGTCTTTGAACTTTCTCATGGCACGCACAGGGCTGCCCATGACATGTGGACATGACTGCATCCATTGCATAAGGAAAGTACAAAGACCAGTTTCTGAAGTAGCCTTAAAAGAAAGTGCCCTTTGCTTTAGCAAGTGGGACTGTGCAACCAGAGCCACAAGTTTTATGAAAACTACTTTCTTGTCACATAATTTGTTAGAGAATGCCACACCCATGATCATGTAACATTACAATTGTGAAACATTACTACATTCGAGAATTAACGTCACCCAATAAAAGGCACATCTTCAAACATTGAATCAAAATCAAAACAGTAGAGAGCATACATTAAAAATCAAGCACTTAATTTGTAAACCTTGGGAAAATAGCCTGCTCCTGTCTTTTCACAGACCTGTGAGCTTTTCTAAGTGGTCAGGAGATACAGAAGAGCAAAGTGGAAGACACGATTTGGACTTACAATCTTTCTTTCCTGCAGTTTTTTTTCCAACACGAATATTGATGCATATCTGTTACAGAAACGCATTCAGACACGACAGACATTATAACCTGATTTTCACCAGCTTCTGAAATTGTAATCTAGCACGATGGCTCCTTTTTGTGCAAACAGCTGCACCCTGTCATTGAGTACAGTACTTTCAGTCACCAGAAACCTGGACTGCAATTATAGATTCCAGAGTATGAATAACGATAAAAGGTTATCCAAGAAAAATCATGGAGGGGAAAACACCCGAGTGACAGCAATAAAATAATGTTCCAAACCTACTTTATCAAGTGGAATATCTTACTCCCTTTAACAGTGGAGTAAGGGAAGTCGATGGCTTTCTGCTGCCAGTGTATAGAAATCTGCAAGCAGAGTTAGGATATTATACCCTCTAAAATTCAATCCTTGTACTTTCAAAGTTTGAAACTCAATTCAAAATGAGCAAGTTTTAAGAACTGGGTCAAATGGTCCCACAAAAGCAGACTAAAAATTGTCACTCATAATACTCAAGCTTAAAGAATGAGGACATCATAGACAAAATACATGGAGTCTGGACCTGTAGAAAAGTAAGAGTTCCAGCGCCCCATCTCTCATGGCTTAACAGCTGAAGACAGCCAGATTAATGGTGGAATTGTCCACAAACTGAATTCTGACTGCTCCTAACCCTCGGGTCTCTCGCATCCTATTTCATTTTCTGTTGCTGACTGTCCTTGAGACATGGCTTCCTTCCAGCCAGACCCTAGATCAGCCTGGATGGACTCTAGGCTTAAGTGACAAACTCTATAAGGTCTGACGTTAGGAAGGATAGAACTTAAGAAAGTTTCACAGCTCAGTAAAACACCAACAACAGGAAAAAATATCTCGTCACAGTGCATAGTTAGAAATAAAAGTGCAATACAGACAGAAGGGAAGGTGGTATTCTTGATACACTAAATATTTAGTTTTTGGTTTTTTGGTCATTAACATTTTCTAAGAAATTTAAGCTAAAAATGCAATGTTGTTAACATCAAGAGGTATAGGGGCACCTTAGGGTCCCAAATTATCTTTTATAAAGGAGGGAATAAAGCACAGGGGGCCACAACACATATCACTTGTTGATTTTCAAACTACCATTCTTTCAAATCTAATGTCTGAATAACTATCTTTTTCATATAAAAAGAAATAAAAAAAGACAAAAACAAAAACAACAAATAGTAAGGGCCCTCATCCACTTCATACTAAGGTCAAATGTGACAGAAAGCCTGAAAGGAAAACTAGAAAAGAATTATTTCTTGTTCTGGCAAAATTTGTATTTTAACTTAGAAAAATTTTATTACCTAATCATATAAATTAAGAATGCTTAGCATCCAATCCACAAATAATGCTGAGTACAATATAATTCTATTTTGTATGTCAAAGTCACAAGGATGACAACCATATAAATAACTATAAAGCCTACTCTTTCCTGGGTTTTCAATTCAAACAGTCTGGGACAGGTCGCTTTATTGCTGGCAGCATTCACACAAGGGTCAGGCCCTTCCTAAGGACAAGTCTGACTGACAAGTCACACAACAATCTTTTTCTCCTTTTAAAGTGGCAAAGGAACAATAAAAGACCAGCTGACTGGTGAGTGGCCCCACATTAGCGTGCATAGCTCATCAGGATCAAAGCCAGCCCTGTGAATGGTTAACTTCATCAGAGCGCACGGCAAGCATCGTATCGTCTGCATTATAGATTCCACCTGGACTATTTGAAAACACTGTACACTCAAATAATAGCTGGAAACGACAGTATGCATTCCTTCATTCCTTCCGCGAGTGCCTACATGTAAATCCAAACTGATAAGGGGCTTGTTCAGTCTGAAGGCAGGAAATCCACACGTAAATCCAAACAGATAAGGGGCTTGTTCAGTCTGAAGGCAGGAAAGCCACATGTAAATCCAAACCGATAAGGGGCTTGTTCAGTCTGAAGGCAGGAAAGCCTTGCAGCAGTGTCCCAGAATCCAGACTCAGCAGCAGCTAATGTCGCTTGAGTTTCTTGGCCTTCCGACGTTTCATTTCTTCCTCTTCACGCCTCATTTCCTCTAAGTCCTCTTGCATACCTAGTCTTAAACTATGGAGAAAATAAGGATATTTACTAATATGCATGAAATAACCACTTTAAAAAGTAAGACTGGCATCTTGTGGATTGTGCTGATGAGTTTGCTCATGTAAACAGGGATCTATGCAAGCACATGCAACGCACAATTTAAAATAGGGTCACAGACACAAAATAAAAGATTTTACAATGGGAATGACAAAAAAAAGCTTTAATATATACTTTTAAAGTAATATAATTTCTCTCAAATTAAAAAAGAAAAAGAAGATTGCTGGGCAAAGTGGTGTATACCTGTAGCCCCAGCACTTGGGAAGCAGATCTCTGAGTTCCAGACCAGACCGGTCTATACATACTGAGTTCCAGGACAGTCAGGACTAGACCCCCTCACCTTTTTTTTTTTTTTTTAATAATCTTTAAACGATGTAGGTATGTGCATGTGAGTGCAGGTGCCTGTCTAGGCCAGAAGAGGACAGACAGCATGAAGCTGGAGTCACAGGCAGTTTTGGGCTATCTGATGTGGGTGTCGGGAACTGAAGTGAGGTCCTCTAAAAGCAGTTCTCTTCTTAACTACTGAGCCATCTTTCCATTCTCTTCAAAAACATTTACAAATAAAGACGCCTCATGATCTGAGTTTGATCCTTGGCACCCACATAAAGGCAGAAGAGAACTGACCTACACACACACAGAATGTACAACTCAGGACATTCATTCACTGGTAATAATTCATATTCTTCTTTCTTAACACTTATTTTGACATTTTATGTAGTTATAGGAGGGAGGGTCAAAAGAAAGCTGTTTTGTGTTGGAATTGAGGTGAATTATTTCCCAATAGTAGGGAATTATTAACACTACAAGCAAAGTAACCATTTATTGCCCCTATCCAAAAACTCTCAGGAGCTCATGACTGGGCAGCTAAACAAATCAAATACAACTACAAGTTCCAAGGCTGAGAGCAGTCTGACGGGCAAAGACACAAACACAGCCCATGGTAGACTCAGAGAGACCTCTAATTTTATTGTACATTACACCAGACACTACAAGCACTGTGGCTACATACTGTCTTAATTCCTACAATGCTTCAGGGAGTAAAGCACTAGGTTCTCAGTTTACAAATGGGAAATCCTTAGAAAAGCAAAGGAATTTGTCTAAGGCTCTCATAGCCAGCCAGCAGCACTATCATCCAGAGAACTCTGCGGTCCAGGCCCCATCCCAAGTCCTACAGCTGCAGGCTTTTGAAGACATTTTTACATAAAAATCTCCTGCTCACCTCTTGGCCTCCTCCTTCTGCTGCTCTTTCCAGCTGCTCTCCATGTAACGTAAGGCATAATCACTTTCATCTTTATACCTGGCAAGAAAGCAAAGTAAAAAATGAACAGAAATTCAATTTTCTTAAAGAGCTACAGCCTCTCAGTAAACAAAAAGCAAACATGCTTACAAGTAAACCACTCAGTTTTAGGATTGCTCCCACCTTGTTTGGGAGTGAGAAGGCCAGACAATGGGTAGAAGCTGGTTTTGTTGCAAAGACATTATATGGTGAAGCTTTATTTCTTTACATTAATGGTTCACAAACTTTAAACTCGTGCACCCTTATCTGGAAACTTACAAAACAGATGTGCAGTCAGCAGGACTAAGGTTGAGTTCTGAGAGCCTGCAATTTTAATAAGCTCCTAGGCACATCAATAATGGTGGTGGTCCCATACTGGTGACCAGTGTCCATATTCTCGGGTAGCAAAACATTACAAAGAAAAGCAGGTGTTATATCAGAATGACTTTTACTGTGGCTCTGTGAATGACTTTCTGACACCTAAAAAGTCCATCTATTTCTTTAACATGAAGCTGCTTCACTCCCTTCTCTCTCTTAAAGAAAGCAGTTTACAAGCAAACATCACAAAACACCCTGAATTCATTAGAAACTACTATGTGCCCTATCTTAGTTAAGGTTTCTCTCTCTCTCTCTTTCTTTCTTTTGGTTTTTCGAGACAGGGTCTCTTTGTATTGTTTTGGAGGCTGTCCTGGAACTCTCTCTGTAGACCAGGCTGGCCTCAAACTCACAGAGGTCCGCCTGCCTCTGCCTCCCGAGTGCTGGGAATAAAGGCATGCGCCACCAATGCCCGGCGCAAGACTAAATCTTTTTAGGACCCTCACCACCCAAAGGTTTCTAACTAAGCATTCAATGCCTCTACTGTTTGTGTTTCTCTCCTATAAATGATAAAAAGTTGATATTTAGGTAACTCTTCAGCTTACTTTTTTCGGTCATAGCCAAAGATTTCCCGAATGTGCTTGGATATTTCTTCCTGAGGTTCTCCTTCATCTTCAATGAAATCATCCATTTCCGAGTCATATTCATCATCATCATCATCATCTTCATACTCTCGAGGTCTTTTGTAGCCAGTAGGGAAGGGGAGCCTTTGAGGACCTGTATACAAAAGCCATGACTTATAAGAACATTATATGGCAAAGTATTTCTTGTAGGGACTATGTCACCTGGGATTCAGAGAAACTGACATTAAGATGGCACCCCTCCACACCTTTAATCCCAGCACTCAGGAGGCAGAGGCAGGCAGATCTCTGTGAGTTCAAGGCCCAGTCTGGTCTACAGATAGAGTTCCAGGACAGTCAGAGCTACATCAAGAAACCCTGTCTAAAAAAACCAAAATAGATGGCACCCATGAAAGCAGAGCATACAGCTGGCTCTCAGCACAGGCTGCACAATCCCTGCAGAGTGAAGTATCAGAGGGGACTGAGCTCTTTACGGCTTACTTGGAAATGCATGCCTTATTGCCTTGTCACGTTTTTCTAGCTTAGTATTTATACATACTTCTGGGATTTAAAAATCAGCAAAATTTCTGAAACTGAGTCAAGTTACAAACTGCCACAGAATCATTAATTTTTAATTCTACCAAATGAAGACACCGAAAGTAGCTCCCTACTTTTCCTGTATTTCTCTTAAAAATTAAAAACCCTTCACATGCCTATAGCTAAGCTATCTGGGCTTGGGGCTTGAGTCAGCAGTTTGAAGAAGTTCTGGGCAACCTAGCAAGACCATACCTTAGAAAAGAAAAAGTCCCAAGTATAAAACATTTTCAGAATTACAACTGTTCAAAGAAAGTTAAAAGTATGACTGCAAGAAAAAACTCATTATTTTATTTTTGCCTGATAAAAACTGGGGGGAAAAGAAAAAGACCTGGGGATGTAACTCAGCAGAGAACCTCCCCAGATACAGGGAGCCCAGAACTTGGATCCCAGCTCCACAGCAGACCAGTATGGTGGTACACATTTATAATCCCAGCTCTTAGGAAGAGACAGATCAGACATGAAAGGTCACCTTCAGCTATACAGTGAGTTCTAGGTCAACATGGGCTACCTTGCCTAAAAATAAATAAATAAATAAATAAATAAATAAATAAATAAATAAATAATAAGCAAACAAACAAACAAATCTAAAGCACTAACTTCCTCGATTCCTCAAAAACAAAACCCCAAAGAACAACTTTGCAAAAGACAGGCACTTATCAACACACCAGTGTCTAAGAACCTTCTAGTCCCTAAAATCTAAAGCAAGGGATTTGGGTATTGGTTTCTTTTTATCCTCTATGGATCCCAATAAATACTTTAACAAGTGCCTATGCAGCATGCAGTATCTACAGCAAGCAGCTAGTGGGGCCATCAGTGGCTCTGAACTTGGAGATGGCAGGTCCCTAGGGCACCAGCGACAAGGCTCTTCCCGATGCCTCTTCCAGGAACAGAGCTCAGGACGGTCCAGAATAGCTGTTGGGACACGACAGCTGTTAACATGTGCTGAATGAACAGAGCACCACGGCTTCAAGCTCGTAATTATTCTCTCATTTCTAAGTCTTGTAGCCTTCATGTACAATACTATCCGACCCACCGAAGGCCCCACCATGTGATAGAACAGGGTGGGGTGTGAACAGTGGATCCTAGATAAACCTCTTTTCTACTGTCAACAGTAAGTACATTACAGGGCATGTGGAAAAGGTCACAGGGTTCCTGGTTATATAAAGCTAGGTACTTTCCCAATAGCCTGGTGACAAATACACTCTTTAGGATGAACGTCAGTTTTACCTTGGGCAGATCTGTAGCCAGACAGGAAAGGCTTCGTTCCATTTATCTGTCCATTGCTTGACCGACTGATAATATTCTTTGAAGAAATAGTTTCTGAGACGACAGTGCACTTGGGTTTTGTGGGAAGGCCCGGGTTACCAACTGTTCGTTCAGGTCCTAGGCTGCTCGTGGGTCTTCCAGGACCCGACCCGGCAGTTCGCCCAGCCGCAACAGGACCACTCGTGGACTTCCCAGGACCACTGACTGACTGTCCAGGGGAGCCGAGGCTGCTCACTGGCCGTCGAATGTCGCGTGGACTGTTTCCAGGCCGCCCGGGGACTCCAGAACTGCTCGTAGGCCTTCCAGAACCACTGGGGCCATTGATGGGCCGCCCAGGGCCAGGAGTGCTGTTTGCAGGCCGCCCGGGACCGTTTGTGCCATTGACTGTTCGCACAGAGGGGTGTGAATTGCTGATCAGCTTTCTGACCCCACTGGCAGCCTGCTCAGGCCCGGAGCTGGAGCTGCCGTTCTGACGCCTAGGCACAGCGCCAGAACCTGGGCTGGGTCGCCCAGGAGCTGGGCCTGGGCTGGGTCGCCCAGGAGCTGGGCCAGAGTTGCTGGCTGGCGGTCTGACACCTGGACTCTTAGCTTTGTTGTGAGAGAGAACTGTGGGCCCAGGCTTGGAATGGCTGGGGTGAGAAGGAGGAGTTTTTTTGGCTTTGTGCTCAGAAGAGGATTTCTGAGTCCCACTGACAGAAGTCTTTGGGGTGCTTGGTGAACAGGTGCTGGGGTGGGACTTTCCAGTCCCGTTGAAGACAGGTCTGTTGTGACCTTCCCTAAGCGAGGGTTGGGAGCTACTTCCAGACCCCGCCTTGGTCCTGTCTCCCAGCACGGATTTGGATGAGGACAAAGCTACTTGCTTTTCGTTGGCTGTGCTGGGTCTGAGTTTCTTCTCAGCGTGAGGAAGGGGCAGCCCTTTGGAGAAGAGCTGCCTGTCCCCAGAAGCCTTGCTGAGCTTTGTGCCCACGCTGTCTTTATGAGGGGGTGGTGCCCTTTTGGACACGGGGGGAGGTAGTTTGGCATCCGCTTCATGTTTCATTTTCCTACGCTTTCGTTCAAGAAACTCTCGCTCCCTAAGCTCCTCCGCGGTCATGGGCCGCTCTTCTGCTTTCTTCACGACCTTGATCTCCACGGGCTCGAACTGCTTCTTCTCGGCTAGCCTCAGTAAGTCACTGAAGTTCATAGGGGGAGGGGCACTTTTAAGGGGGGCCTTTGGTTTGCTCTCAGCTTTGGGAGGCTCTTGCTCCTCCTCGTACTCCTGCTCCAACTCAGCTTGACCATAGTCTAGGAAGTCCTCCTCCTCCACTTCAAAGTCTTGGTGAGTCCCCTGGTTCAGGTGGCTTTCCACTGTCTGCCTCTTCTTTGACTTTTCCTCGATGGGAATCCCATCGTACCCATGAAAATTGTCCTTTGTCCTCTTGGCCATGGCTCTGGCTTTCTTGTCGTGCTTGAGCTCGATTCGTTTTCTCACTAGTTCTTCTTTCCTCCTTTTCTCTTCTAAGGCTGAAAGGAATAAAACAAGAACACATTGTTTCAACAGTCTCAGGGTAGCTCATGTGACCAGTTCAGTCAAAACACAGACAAAGATGGGTTACAGTTTCCAGATATCTAGGAGTCAAATGAGGACGTCATCTAACAAAATGACAAAATTTTACACAAGTGGGTCATATATGAGCTTCTCTTTATGAATAAGCACGTAAGAAACTTGGGGTTGGGGGTTTTTCTTTTTTCTTTTGCTTTAAATGTAAAAAACGGCTCATAAATACACACCAAGTTAATGGAACACCAGTACTCACTGAAGTTGCTAAGAATGAATCTATGAATACCTAAAACAATGTCAGGACCAAGGTAAAGAATGGACACTTGTTTTATAGAATTACGTGGTCGCTACACCAGGCTTTTTAACCTCTTCCTTCCTCCCCTCAAGAGACAAGGCCTTGCTATGTTGTCCAGGCTGCTCTGAAGCACCTGAGCTCAAGGGATCATCTTGCCTCAGCCTGGTGAATTCCTGAGATGACAGGTGAATATCACCATGTCCAGCTTCACAAGTCTTGCGGGTGGGTGGGATGTGGGTAGATAAGACAATACGTGAACACACACACACACACACCCCTGCACATTTGTGTGTGTATACATACGTCCATAACATTAACCCAGAGACACATTACATTATCCCTCAGTGTACTGGCCTGTACGACACTTTTACAAATACACACCGTAAGTCCAAGATGGTTTGGTGGCAGACACTGAGACCAAGAAGAGACACAAGCACATACATACATACCTTTCTGTCTGAGTTCCTCTTCTTTCCTCCTCAGGAAAGCTTGCACAGCTGCCGACTGAACACCTTTAACTTTTGGGTCTTTCTTGGGAGGTCCCACTGCCAAGCTATACCTTTTCTAAAAATAAAAGCAGAATAAAAGGTGTAAGCAATATATAGTCTGTGTGGGCCGGGCTGTGTGGCTCAGTGGTAGAATGTTTGTTTAATATGTACCAGCTCTGAGTTCAATTATCAGTAGTGCAGAAAATGTAGAAAGAAAATGAGGGAGGGAAGGAAGAAGGAAGGGAAAGAAAAACAAGAAATCTAAGCAAAGGGCCTGGTTCTTTGTATTCTTCAAATGTAGCATTTAAGTTCATGAAATATTAATTTGCTACACAAGTTCCTTTAGATTGGCTTGTGTATTACCAAGATCACTAATATTGCCCAGACACAGATGGTGTTTTCATAAACTTTGGCTTTTTAAGTAACTGTATAGAGAAAAATGACTAAAGCAGAATGATTGAATCATGAAAGAAAAAAATTCAATTTCTTAAGTATCTACTATTAAAACAGCTAATCCTCATGTCTGGGACCATCAACAAAATTTATGGGCCAGCAATTTTTTCTTTTAATTACAGAGCTAAAGATACAGGGTCTCATACATGCCAGGCACTCTACAAGAATCTTAAAAGTATCCCTGTTATATGAGGGAAAACCCCTTTTTATGTCCTAAATCTGTCTCTGTGATGATAGTAAAGTCATCTTTGTAGAAAAAGCATTTTGTAAACTTCAATGCTTCCCCATAATATCTATATATGACAGTTTGTCAACCCCAATGCCCTCCCATACTGTGTAACACAAACTTGGAGGAAAGCCAAAGGATTTGACTACTACAGGGCTGCCAAATACAATATATCTTGAAACAAGCTCAAGTTCCAACTACATCAGTCAAGTAAAAAAGGAGCTAGCCAAGAAGGCAGGTCTCATCCAACCTGAAAATCCTGCATGATGGCAGTGTTGACAACTGACTCATCCCTGACAGAGAAATTCCAAGACAGTTCCAATTGTTTTCTAGTCACCCAGGCTAGGACACAATCAGATCCCTTAATTAGTCCACATCTTTGTAAACTGAACTGAGAGCTCTTTCCCTCCAGAAATAATACCACAAATAGGACACTTGAATCAAGTTAACTAAGACACACAGCTCACAGGCAGCATCACACAATTTAAATGATTTGTGGGGTATTCAGAGTTTCACATCATTAGTTAGTCAAATAATATACTGTTAACTTTAATCAATACCACAAAGTTTTAAACAACTTCTTAAAACATTAGTCAGGAATGAATGCGGAAAACAGCTCTTTGCATTAAGCTAGCTCTGCAGGGTGTCGAAAAGGGCAATGGGAGTAAGGCACCCAAGAGCATCCATTCACGCGGCTATGATTTATAGAAACACTTAGTTAGGGCTGGGGTACAGCTCAATGGTAGCGCACTTGCTGACATGCTGGAAGACCTGGTTCAATCCTTAGTGCATCATTCCAAACGAATATAAAGTCAAATGAGTGCTTTGTTAGAAACTGCCTTAAAAAAAAAAGGATAACTGTTTTCCTAGTGCTTAGACATGGGCTTTGTAACTGAACGCATGTCTTCTGACTCAGGACCAAACATGCTTTCACACTTTCACTTTCTATTTGATGCCAACCCCTTTTTCTTGAGACTCACACCACAATCTTAAATGAAATTCCCTAATTTCCATGCATGTCTGTCTACTCCAGACAGGTCTACACCTGATCTTCCCCATACTCTTCTCCCTTCCCTCCTTTGGGAGAGTAATCATGCCGATACTTTCTTAGAATAGTTTTCCATCCATGTACTAACTAGGTCCAATCCTGCTTAACCTCAGAGATCAGGTAAGATCAGGTGGGCAGTTCAGATGGTCTAGTCATAGCTGTCCATCGGTTTCTAAATGCTGTTGGTTTGGCTTTATATTATCTTCCCATCTTTTTTTGTTTTTAAAGATTTATTTATTTATTACATATACAGTGTTCTGCATACAAGCCAGAAGAGGGCACCAGACTGAATTGTAGATGGTTGTGAGCCACCATGTGGTTGCTGGGAATTGAACTCAGGACCTCTGGAAGAGCAGTCAGTGCTCTTAACCTCTGAGCCACCTCTCCAGCCCATCTTTCCATCTTTATATAGAATATGTCATAAAAATCCAACAGTTTTATTGCTTAAAGCTGTACTAAACAAGAGCTGAGGCAAGGAGCTTGGGTTCTGCCTGTGAAGATGACAAACTCACCTCAGTGCATTCCCTCACTTAACAAAGGGCCAGGGTTAGGAGCAGGAATTCTGAAGCACAGTGCTGAATTTGATCCCCTCCTTCATTATAACCAATCCCATAACTCACTGTGTGGCCTTGGGCAACTTCTCCACCTCACTAGGCCTCAGTTTTGTCATCTGTAAAATCTCTTTCATATGCTCATTATGGTGACTAAATTAATTAACACATGGAGTGCTTAGAACAATAATACCTGGCACAGGCTCAGCACAATGAATGTTAATTGCTGTCACCATCGCTTAGAAAGAGATTCTCTAAGGTGTTATGGGGGACAGAGACAACAGAATCCCTGTGGGGAAGGGATGAGCAGTAGTTTCTGAAGGCCTTGTCCATAAAGCACTACTCTACACTAGAAAGCAGCTGTCTGGGACAGCAGGGTGTCATTGTCAGCTCTTAGTGGAAGGCCAAAATCCAATTTCTGTAGAGCAACCACTACTGCAGCAAAAACTTTTCTAAGCTGACCATTCTTCACAAGGAACCATTACAATCCCAGCACTTGAGGATCTCTGTCTGAGGTTACAGGCCAACCAGGGCTGTACTGAGACCCATCTAAGAAAAAAAAAAAAGCCAGTGACAATGGTTGCATCATCCTGAGCTGCTGTTATTTTTGTATTCAGAATTCCACTGAGAACAGAGTGTAAGCCTAATACTTCCACACATGATTCAATCCTATCTTTGTTTTAACTAAAACATAAAGATGATTGTTTCATTTAAAAACAAGAACAATGAAGGAAATGTTAGTACAAATTGAGCATCCTTAGTACAAAAATTCAGAATGCAACATGCTCCAAAATCTGAGATGTTTTGAGGACTGATAGTGTAGTGAGGTAAAATCATAGAAGAGAGCTTAGTTTGGGACCCTATTAGTTCTTGGATTATTCACAAACCCTTGGAATAAAGGACTTGGCAGCCTGCTTCCTTTCCTTGTACATACTAAGCAACACAACCACTGCAAACAATGTTCCTACAACCACAGTCTCCCACTTGGTTGGGTTACACAGTCTCACATCTCTGAACAATGGCACACTTTCCCAGCGCCTGCTAGCAATCAAAGTTACAATTTTTTGTTGTTGTTTTGAGACAGGGTTTCTCTGAATTGTTTTGGAGGCTGTCCTGGAACTCTGCTCTGTTGACCAGGCTGGCCTTGAATTCACAGAGATCAGCCTGCCTCTGCCTCCCATAGTGCTGGGATTAAAGACATGGGCCACCAATGCCTGGCTTCAAATTTACAATTTTTATTCAAAAGTATTTCCAGTTTACCAGGCATGACAATTCGAAGGGCCAATCAGGCTTAAACTAGTTTTGAGTGTATGTACAGTAAGGAAAAACTGCATCATCTTATAACCTTTTAGGGAGAATCTCTACTTACCACCTTATGCCTATGCATAATTGGGGAATGGACAGGATTAAAATCAGATGCTTATGGGAAGGGACATGCACAGCAGAGAAATAATTACATAACCCAACCATCAATCAAAATAAAGAACTACCCTAACTGTATCCATAGTAAACCAGGCCCCTTTCCCCAGGCTGCATCCTGGGACCCTGAGTATTTTTGCTCTTGTTCTAAGAATTGTCTTTAATCTGTACTATTATTGCTTTGCTCTAAATAAAACGATTGTGCTTCTTTTGCAAATGTGTGTGTGTGCGCACACCCTTATTTTCAACTCTTTGGATAAGAGGCCAAGGACCTGGAAACACCCAACCCAAACTCTAACAACAGGACACCACAAGTTGAAAATTTCCTGTTTGTCTTCACACACTCTAAGGTACTGAGTGGTGAAGAAGTAAGGCCCTTCTAAAGGACCCAAGTTCAGTAAAGGCACTCACACAGAGGCTTACGATTCTCTGTAACTCCAGTTCCAGGGGGTTTAACGCCCTCTTCTGGACTGTGGGGCACTGCATAAAATAAAGTTAAAATCGTTTAAAAAATACTGTATGAAAGGAATCTTCAAGTTGTGGTTACCTGTATAAGCTCTATACAAGATGGATCCGACATTCCCTCTGGAGAGGGGCTCATGAGACCTGTGGTAGTTTGATTGACAATGGCCACCACAGGCTCACACGTCTGAATATTTGGTCCCGTTGGTGGAGCTGTGTCAGTGAGGTTGGGCTTACTTAAAATGACATTCCCAGTTAACTCTCTCCTTCCTGCTTGTGGACCAGATGTGAGCGCTCAGCTACCATTCCAGCACCATCTGTGCCTGCTGCCATGCTTTCTGACATGAGATGGTCATGAACTCTAACCGTGTAAGCCCCCAGTAACTGCTCTCTCTAAGTTGCCTGGTCATGTGTCTTATCACAGCAACAGGAAAGTAACTTAAGATGGGGCCCCGTTGCTCCTTGAAGTAGGAAATAAAGGCAGCTGAGCTAGTGGGTAATGATTGCTCAGGGAGTGGAGTCATTTTCTTTAGTGGTTCAGTCTCTGCTAAACTGTCCATGCCTCACTCATGCAAGTGACCCTATTTTAAACGAGTGGATTTCCCCCCCCCCCACCTCATGAAAGTAGGAGGGGACTTGGGAGGAAAAGGCATAGTGGGAGAAGAGAGGGGTGAGAGGATAATGGAGGGTAACAATAATTACTATTTACATGTACGAAATTGTCAAAGAATAAAAAAATTAAGAATACCTCCTAACTACATCAATTATGTGTGTGTGTGTGTATATGAAACACAGACTAATTTTGTATTTAGACCTCATTCCTCTCCTTATATGTCATTATATTTATACAAATATCACAAAATTCCGGGGGAAAAAATCTGACACTCAGAATACTTCTAGCTGACAAGTACTCCAGGTAAGGAGTAAGCAACTGTAGCTCTGCAGCCAGATACAATGGACACCTACATCAGTGACAGGCCAACATGTTAACTTGGTGGCTTTTAAGCCATCACTAGCCAGATTGGCTTTCTTCAGTAAAGGTATGGTCAAAGAACTCTGGAGCCTAAAACCTGAGAGTCACTCTGATAGGATCCAAGAAGGAGGCAGAAGACAGCTAAGAGGGGGAAAGACCACGAACACAAAGGGAAGCTGTCAGTTACTGTAAAGTACTTTGATTCTCCAATTAGGGTTAAGCCCAGGACATCTTAAATACACGGCACACAGGGGTAGGGGTGTGTGTGTTTATCAAAATGCTTCTTGAGTTGGATGGTAGTATTTATTTAGATATTTAGAGAAATGGCCTCAGGTAGCTTAGGCTGGCTTACAACTACTCTGTAGCTAAGGATCTTGAACATCTGATGTTCTGCCTGTGCCTCCCAAGTACAGGGATTTCAGTGATTCAAATGCTAGGACAGCTGATAAGGAACTTGTTCTATAAAAATTGGTTACACTTGGTACATTGCTGCCTGTTTAAGTAAAGGAACATTTTAATAAATAAATACAAATTTGGAGGTCAGACATATTAGTTACATCTCATTTTTCAGAAGCATGTAAGGGGTTTAAGGATGGAGCCAAGAAATTAAAACTCAGCGGCAGAGAGCTTGCCTTACATGAGAAGTCCTGGGCTCAATCCCATCACTAAGAAAACAATAATATGAAAATAACACACCTATGAAACACAGCTCTTGTTAATATAAGTTGAATATAAAGCGTGGTACATGGGGTTTGTAAATGCTCTGTGTTTATAATTGTCTAAATTATTGAGTTGATAAAATTAAGCTGGATAAGATGAATCAGTTTATGAAGAATCATGGATTAAATTTAATACTATTTAGCTTGTTTTATTCCAATTGCTTTTATGACTCTTGTTCCACTAAAAGATAAAGAAGTTAATATTGCAAACTGAGTCAAACTTCTAAGTTTGCTACCTCTTTTGGGGGAAGGGAAGGATGACTCAGAAAATGTGTCTGTTATTCAACTATTAAATTTTAAATTACTTCCCCAGTTTACCTATCTTCACTTCCTGTTAGGACAATCACAGAGCAACAGAGAACACCATGTATTTTGAAAGTTTTGCTCTAGGATTATTTGTCTGCCATTCTCCCAGCAGCTATTGGCTTTTAATTCATTAATTAATTATATTGAGACAGGGTCTCTCTGTACAACCCTGGCTGTCCTAGAACTCATGTAGACCAGGCTGGCCTTGAACTCTTTTTGAGAGCTGCTTGCTTCTTCGAATGCTGCAACTAAAGGTGTGAGCCACCACACCTAACCAGCTATTGGCTTTTAAAATCTGGGTTCTGATTCTTTTTTGTTTGTTTGTTTGTTTGTTTTTTCGAGACAGGGTTTCTCTGTGGCTTTGGAGGCTGTCCTGGAACTAGCTCTTGTAGACCAGGCTGGCCTCGAACTCACAGAGATCCGCCTGCCTCTGCCTCCCGTGTGCTGGGATTAAAGGCGTGCGCCACCAACGCCCGGCCCGGGTTCTGATTCTTTCACAAGACAATTCTTGGTTAATAAAGCTAGTATTTTTTTAAATCTTTCTCGAAATTCAAGATCTAAGATGAAATAATTATGCAAAGATGGATGGACATTAGACCTAACACTGACTTGACTAGAAAATCTACAAATGTTTCAGTATTGATGCTCCATGTTTCAAAGGCTTGCACCCACAGCTTCAACCAGCAAGGCTTACGAGCTTAGAGGAATGTTTACTTACCCCTAACTCCTGGCCGCCCATCCCCCCCAGGTTTCTCTGTAGCTTTGGAGGCTGTCTTGGAACTCACTCTGTAGAACAGGCTGGCCTCAAACTCTCAGAAATCCACCTGCCTCTGATTCCCAAGTGCTGGGATTAAAGGTGTGCGCCACCACCTCCAGGTGAGGAATGTTTACTCTAAGTGATTACTACCATGATGGTAGATGACTGCTCATATATGCACATATTATATATAAAAAACATTCGTATGCACATGCACACACATACAAATACAATTACTCCTTATTTTAGATTAATATATCCACTAGACAAGTGGCAAAACAAAAAAAAAAAAAACCCTGCAAATTCTGGAAAAAACTAGGAAATTTAGAGTTCACGTGAGATCTCAATTCCAGTTGATTGACTCTAAGATTGTATTTTGAGTTGGACACTTCACTGATCAAACCGCAGGTATCACAACGCGAAATATCGGTTTACAGCTGTGCCGTGGGGACCTCCTGATGATCCAGAAATGATTAGTCTATGCAAAACAGCTACAAGCCCAGGAGCCAGATGTCCGATCACCTCAGCATTTGGCTCTGAAAACGTAATGGAACCGAGCAAATGGAATCTAAAAATCTGGAAGTCCACTAGGAAGCGAAAGCTAAAATCCGCTTTGCTCTAACAGGGAATTGATCGATCCGAGGGCCTCATGCACCCTTAGGCAAATAAAAAAATAAAAGGTCTACCACACACCGGCAGCGCACACGATCGCCTCACAGTTGGCCTTGGATTTTTCTAAAATGCCCAGAAATTCTCTTCCCAACGTAAAGATACCTCCCTAGGCAGGTGATAACATCTTTGGTTCAGTGGGTGGGGCCACGAACCACCAGAGACCCTTTTCAAGAAGTCACTCAAAACAAAACAAAACAGTATTAGACCCGCCGAAAAGATCCAAAAGGCTATAATCGTGCTAAGTTCTGAAAGTCCCAAGCTTCCTGGCTACACTGGCCCTCAATTTAGGAGCTGAAGCATTTCCGAAGCCAGGCGCGGCTCACTCGTCCACTTTTACGCAACTCTTAAAAAGCCTCAGCAAAGTCCCCCTTTCTGGAAACACGATTCGGCGGAAAACCAAGCCCCAAAGCAAGCTCCACTTTCGCATCCCCAGCCCCCCACCCCCGCCGTGTACCCAAGTCTCCGCGTAAACTCCAAAAGAGGACGCAGTCCAAGTGTCTCCGAGGCCGACGGGGCGCTCGCCTGGAAGTTCCACCCGCCACACACGAACTTGACGCCCGGGCTCCCCACTGCAAGCCCGGAGACTCACCGGTACATGGTTGACACCTTGTCCTTTGGAAGCGATCAGGAGGATTTCCCTGAAGTCCATGTCTGTCCGAAGAGAGAACGCGCCCGGCTGGGCCGGGCCGGAGTACTCGGGACGCGGCGGGCACACGAGTCTCGCTGCTGTGCCTTGCTCGACTGACTGGCTTGCCTCCGCCGCTCCTCTCCTTTAGCCACCCCTCCGCAAGGACACTTCCGGCGCCCTCTAATGCCGTGCGCCGCCTCCGCGCTGCCGCGGAACGCCGTGCATATGTGTCTAAATATATATATGTATGTATATACACACACACACACACACACACTCACACACTCACGCCCGGGGCCGCCGCTGCGCCTGCGGGTACTGCGCAACTTCCGCCTATCGGGGGCGAGACACGCAATAGGCTGACGTGGCTGTTGGCTTCGGCTCCACTGGGCGGGGCTGGAGCGCCTCCCAGCCAATCAGATGCGAATGTAGCAGTTGAGGGGTGTGGCTAAGCGGGAGGGAGGGCGCGCTCCCGCGGAGGGTTCTGGCCTCCCGAGGATCTCAGGGCGAGAGCCGGTGGGGGAGGAAGGGGAGGGCGGGGCCTGCTTTCAGGTGTGTGTGTGGGTTCTTCTGTGGGTGTCACGCGCGCGCGCGCGCGCGTGTGTGTGTGTGTGTGTGTGTGTGTGGTGGTGAGGGTTCGGATCCCAAGCGGCGGCGGCGTTCCAGACGCTGACCCGACCCAGGTCTGCAGAAAGAGACTTCGGCCTGGGTGTGTGTCTGCTTCCCGGAGCTTGTGCGCGTGCACGCAGTTTCCGCCCTGGTCCTCGGACTCCAGTGTCTTCGGATCACCGAGGCGCCTGCTGCCTTTTGCCCAGGGGAATGAGAAAAGCCTGTAGTCACATGCCGTGCCGGGCTTGACTCTGGCGCCCTGCAGAAGCGTGCGTGCACGCGTTGGGGGCTCTGGCCTGAGTTTCGTTTTAGTTACCGAGCTTGCAGAGTCGTTTTGTCTCAGTAAAGCACACGTGAATAACTAGGTCTGGGGGGTGGGAGTGGGTCACGGACCCCCAAACTGGACTGTATTTGCTAATTATTGCACGCTTGAAAGGGGTGAGTGGACCCAAAGGCCTTATTCTGTGAACTGGTGTTTGACTGCCGGCTCGGAATGGCTCCACGTCTGATTAGGTAAGAGACCAAGATGAAGCCTTCAGCCGGGCGTTGGTGGCACACGCCTTTAATCCCAACACTTGGGAGGCAGAAGCAGGCGGATCTCTGAGTTTGAGGCCAGCCTGGTCTACCAAGCGAGTTCCAGGGCAGGCTCCAAAACAATACAGAGAAACCTTGTCTCGAAAAACCAAAAAAGAAAAAAAAAGATGAAGCCTTCGCCTTATCACAGAACTGAAATTTTTTTTTTTTTTTTTTTTTTTTTTTTTAGTCTTTCGAGACAGGGTTTCTCTGTGGCTTTGGAGCCTGTCCTGGAACTCGCTCTGTAGACCAGGCTGGCCTCGAACTCACAGAGATCCGCCTGCCTCTGCCTCCCGAGTGCTGGGATTAAAGGCGTGCGCCACCACCGCCCGGCTGATTTAATCTTTTTTAAATAAATAAAAAAAAACCGTGTGTGTGACCGTCCGTATGTACATTTGAATATGTGCCACAGCACACATGTAGAGGTCAGAGGACAATTTGTGGGAGTTGATACTTTTCTTCCACCATGTGGATCCTGGAGATTGAACTTAGGCTCTCAGGTTCAGCAAGAGACACCTTTTCCTGCTAAACCTTCTCAGCGGCCCTGGAAGGATTCAGGCTTTATGCAGGCTTGCCCCTACCACCTGGCAGAACGCACTCAGGCAGTACTCTGGTCAGCCCAGGGTTCCATGATTGCATAGTCTGCACGCAGGTGCAAAGGACCCCATTAAAAAAAACAGATCCCTGCCCACTTCCGTTCTCTTTCAGCTCTTTACAGCTCTTCTCTGTCTCTGCTCTCCTCTCTTTCTGCTCCTGTCTCTCTCTTCTTTTCTGTCCTTGTCTCTATGTCTCTTCACCTCTGTTCTCTTTCCGTCCCCTTCCCTCCCCTTTCTAATAAAACTTCTCACTCAAGCTCTGTCTGTGTGGCGTGCTTGTCCCCTGCCTCGGTCACCCTCCCCTGGCCATGGAGTCCGCCGTGGTCCCCCAGGCAGGACCGCCTTCCAGCTTTATCCTCCCATCGAAGCAAAAGAATAACAGGCCCAATCGACTCAACCCTAACTAAAGATAAATAGCTTAGATTCAAAAGAGAAAATAACAGCATTATGTTTATACAATTATTCAGTGAACAGCTCGTAAGAGATCACCAAACTGAAACGCCTCCTACCGTTGTGGGTGGGTATCCACCAGAGAAAGAAATACTCAGACACAAGTTTAAGCCAACTAGCCAGTCCGTGTCCCAGTGTAGTCCCGATCCTTCCTCAGGGTGAGCTTTTAAAGAACAAAGACCATCTCCTGGGGTGACATACTTAAGTTAACAAGAACAGTTAACTAGAAACCAAACAGCAAGGTTAGTACACTTAGAGACTTTCCCAGACTCTGATGGATTAGGTCTTTGTTTTTGATTTGACAGGTAATGCTGTCAGTGTGCTGAGTTTTATAGTCTGAATGGTAGTACTTCCATCTTGGAATCAGTTGTGCGAAGGTCTGGGGCCTGTTGCACTACCAGCCCCACCCCCTTTTGAAAGACAAGGTCTCACTATGTAGTTGGAACTCACTGTGCAGACCAAGGTAGCCTCAAATTTATGGAGATCTGTCTGCCTCTACCTCTTGAGTTCTGGGATCAAAGGTGTACACCACTAAACCCATTTGAACTGCTATAAAAATGTACCCATGAAGTTAAAATAGCTGTCAGTAGCTAATGATATAGTGTGTGTGTGTGTGTGTGTGTGTGTGTGTGTGTGTGTTGTGACACAGAGGGTAATGTTGAATCAGAGCTGCTGATGGTAATTCAGGAGTACAGGAAAGACAGAATCCCCGCCTTTATCAGGGGAAAACAATGAATTCATCAAATAGTTGCAGAGAAAGCACTATGTGCTTATCCTGATGGACAGTACAAAGACCCAGCTTCTGTCCAATCAAGGCTTTAATACACAAGTAACTGCAGTAACACAGAGAGCAGTAACTACTGAGTAAGGAAAGTTCGAAGTGGAGAGTTGTTAAGGTTTGCAAATAAAATGGCAGTGAAAACATTTGTTAGGCGTCTGAAATTTGATTTAATTGGGTCTCATTATACTTCAGTCGGCAAGTTTAGAAGTAATAGAGTTGCAGTTGGAATACAAGCACAGAAAGAGTCAAGAACACATAATAGAAGGTTCTGAGAATTAGCAGGTATATTTAGGGTGGTACGAAACAAGATCAGGAAAGTTACATAGTTTGAGAAGGTATTGAGATCCAGGGTAGGAGGGAAAGAAGAGACACTTAAAACAGACTGTGCATAGTGGCACACGCCTTTAATCCCAGCACCCAGAAGGCAGAGGCAGGTGGTTTTTTGTGAGTTTGAAGCCAGCCTGCCTGGTCTACGTATTGAGTTCCTAAACATCTGGAGCTATGCGGTGAGATTCTGAGCAGGGTGGCAGGAAGAATTTAAAGTCTGAATGACATAGTCTTTATTCCCTTCAGATTGACACAATCCAAAAGCTTTTACAAATAAGTAACACTCGAGCCCGGCGTTGGTGGCGCACGCCTTTAATCCCAGCACTCGGGAGGCAGAGGCAGGCGGATCTCGTGAGTTCGAGGCCAGCCTGGTCTACAGACTGAATCCCAGGACAGCCTCCAAAGCCACAGAGAAACCCTGTCTCGAAAAACCAAAAGAAAAAAAAAAAGTAACACTCATAAGGGTCAGAGAAATACACTGTCATGGAAATATATGAGGTCGGTATGGTCAGGTGTAAAGCCTAATGCTTCAGGTGTGTTTACTGTGAGTCACACTAGTCTAAGTAGCTTTTACATATGAAGCAATTGGATTTTCACAGCAGCTCTACTAAATAGTGGTCAAATGGGTTGTCTAGATTCTCTCTGATGTTGCCTGTGCCAGCACTTGACTTCAGGTTCTGTTGTATATTATTATCATTATTACTGTGTTTTTCTTTTGTTGGTACCCCCGTCCCCCCACACACACGACAGGGTTTCTCTGTAGATTTGGAGACTGTCCTGGAACTCGAGCTGAGCTGTAGACCAGGTGGGCCTAGAGATCTGCCTGCCTCTGGATTAAAGGTGTGTGTCACCAGGTCTGGCCTTGTTATTTTAGTTGTGTGTGTGTGTGAGTGTGTGTGTGTATCGGCACAGGAGGGCATCTGGCCTTTCGGAGGTGGAGTTAAGAGGTACCTGTGAGCTGTCTGGTGTAGGTTCTGGAACAGAATTCTAGTCTTCCAGAAGAGCAGCAAGTGCCGGTAACTGCTTGACTACCTCTCCAGGCCCACTCTCACGACTTTTTATTTAAAATATTAATGTAACTACCTGGATTCTTTTCATAGATGTATGTTCTACCAAAGTATGCACACGTGTATGCAGACTCACTCGAACAGTTATTTACTGCAAAGGACTGGGTCAGTGAGCTGGCTCTTGCCACCAAGTCCAACAACTTGAGTTTGACCCTCAGGACCCACATGGCGAAAGGAAATAACTAACTCCTGCAAGTTGCCCTCTGACCTCCACACATGCCACAGCATGTACACCTAATCTCCCCCCCCCCCTGCTGGGTGGCACCTGGTCTAGCCCCGGAGGAGAGCTAGCACCTAGCCTAATCCATCCTTTGACCTGCCGGATGATACCTTTTGTTCCCCTACGTGTACTTTGTTTGGGACTTTCCCAAGAAGACAAAGGCCTATGCACAACTTGCTTCAGGAGACCCAGAAAACTGTGGTACCTATGAATGGAGACTTTGCACGTGACATTATCTTTTTTGGAAGCCTCATTCAAGTTGTTCTGAGCATTTGGTAATCAACTGGCTAAAGTGTAAACATTGAGAAAAATAAAAAATGCCCTGGGTGTTGGGGAAGTGCTTCAGTTCATGGAGATTGGAGTCACCTGCAGCCAAAAAGGCGAAATTCATTCTTAAAGTGTCTTTGAGTTTTCTTTGACAGACTTGTGTGGGAACCCCCCACACCACACCACACAAAGAAGGAAATGGATGTATATATCTCCCCCTAGGATGTTCTCTTAGATATATTGTTATAGGAAATAAAAAACCATGATGCATTACAATACTTTTTGTTTGTTTGTTTTTGTTTTTCCAGACAGGGTTTCTCTGTATTGTCTTGGAGGCTGCCCTGGAACTCACTTTGTAGACCAGGCTGGCCTCGAACTCACAGAGATCCACCTGCTTCTGCCTCCCGAGTGTTGGGATTAA